CCACAATGAAGCCCAAAGTTTCCGCGGTTGTGTGAGACATTTGTTGAGTTTAGCCCCGTTTTACGACTTTTCTTCCGTTGTTAAGTGAACCACTGGTGGTTAAATGAAACATGCCCCTCCCCCTTGACTTTGCTCGTCCAAAGGGCGCGGAAGGGGGTGACGTGGCCTCATGGAAGGCTGCGACCGTCATAAATATGAACCGGTGGCCAAGCCCCTGAATTTTGACCACGTGATCACGGGAAAGCTGCAAAAGTCTGAAAAATGGTCCTAAGTCCCGTTTTTTTCCCGTGCCGTTGTGACTTTGGACGGTCACGATATGAATGTTTGTAAGTCGAGGACTTACCTGTATCTGACATCGTCGGTGCTAGGAGGAGGTGGGGTTTATTGGGGGGGAGGGGGAAAGGAGAAGAGGGGGGGCGGTGGGGTCCTGGGGGCTGTCTGAGCTTGGGGGTTTTTCTCGTAAACATTTCATGACCCAAACGAGGTAATGTCATCGATGCACTGATGAAGTTCCCTAGTTGGGTCGTGAAACGTCTGCAAGAAAAACCCCCAGCTCAGAGGGCTCCAAGGATCCCCCTCCTCTTCCTCCTCCTCCTCCTCTGCAAACTCCTCTCCCTTCTAGCACTGATGATGTTCCCTAGTTGGGTCATGAAACATCTGCAAGAAAACCACCAAGCTCAGAGAGCATCAAGGAGCCCACAGTTCTCCTCCTCCTCCTCCTCCTCCTCCTCCTCCTCCTCCTCCTCCTCCTCTTTCTTTCCCCAAACACACTCCCTTCTAGCTCTGATGATGTTCCCTATTAGGTCATGAAACGTCTGCAAGAAAAGCCCCAAGCTTAGAGAGCACCAAGGAACCCACAGTCCTCTTCCTTCCTTCCTCTCCTCCTCCTCCTCCTCCTCCTCTGCAAACTCCTCTCCTTACTAGCTCTGATGATGTTCCCTAGTTGGGTCATGAAATGTCTGCAAGAAAACCCCCCAAGCTTAGAGAGCACCAGGGACCCCACAGTCCTCTTCCTTCCTTCTCCTCCTCCTCCTCCTCCTCCCCCTTCCCCCCTCCCCCTTCCTCCTCCTCTGCAAACTCCTCCTCCCTTCTAGCACTGATGGTGTTGCCTAGTTGGGTCACGAAACGTCTGCCAGAAAACCCCCAGCTCCGAGGGCCCCAAGGAGCCCACAGTTCACCCCTGGGCCACAGATATCCTCCTTTATTGGAGAACCCTCAGTCCCCACGCGCAGAGAGCCCCCTCTGACTTCAGGACCTCGTGGAAACCTCAGGGCTTCCTGGCAGGGGATCGGTGCCCCTTCCGAACTGGGGTGGGGGTGGGGGTGGCAGGGGGCATTAGCGGCACCTGTTCAAAGTCCACTCCATCCCAAGAGGGCTTTTTCCGGGATGACGGAAAGCGTAAACTCCGGGTTTCAGCTTTCAGGAAACGGCCCCGGTGCCCAGAAAAGCGACAGACGCGACTTTAGCAGGCATAAAAATAGACCAGGATGCTTTGACTCAATGCAGCGTTTCTCCCCCCCCCCTTTTTTTCAACAGGGATCCTGAGAATAGAGTACAAGTCGGTCCTTGACTTACAACGGTTCATTTAGTGACCGAGATGAAGTTAGAACGGCGCTTTTGACCGTCGCAGCATCCGAACGGTTTAGGTGATCAAAATTCGAACCCTTGGCAACTGGCATGTACTTATGACGGTTGCAGCCTCCCCACAGTCATGTGATCTATATTTGGAGGCTCGGCAACTGGCATGTACTTAGGACGGTTGCAGCGTCCCGGGGGGGGTCACGTGATCCCTTTTTGTGACCTGAACAAGCAAAGTCAACGGGGGAGAAGCCGGATCTGCTTAACAACCGCGCAACAAATGCAAGAAACTGAGGCGAAACTCACTCAAGAAGCATCTCGCTTAGCAACAGAAATTTTGGGCTCAATTGCGGTCGTAAGGCGAGGACCACCCGTATGTGCCAGACAGACAGACAAGTGGCGCAGAACGAGGGCAGACCGGAATTGTCTACTTTTAAAATTAATTTGGCACTGCTCGTCTCCGGAAATGTAAATCTAAGTGATCTCCCTGACATTTTTTTTTAAAAAAACCTTGCTTTCGCAGGTGGTCCTCAGACTTACGACCACAACAGAGCCCAAAATTTCTGTCGCTAAGTGAGACATTTGTTAAGAGAGTTTTGCCCCGTTTTATCACACAGTTGTTACATTGGTAACACGGCTGTTAAGTGAATCTGGGTTCTCCCCTTGACTTTGCTTGCTGGAAGGTCACAAAAGGGGATCACGTGACCCCGGGATGCTGCAACCGTCATAAGAACATGTCAGTTGCCGAGCCTCCGAATTTTGGTCACATGACCCAACAGTCGTAAGTGTGAAAAACGGTCGTAAGTCCCTTTTTTCCGTGCCGTTGTAACTTTGAACGGTCACTAAATGAACTGTTGTAAGTTGAGGACTGCCTGGCTTTTTTAAAACAAGGAAGAGGTTGGCTGGTGCCTTTTAAAATGTATTTCAAAATGCAGCCACCTGTCTCAAATGGTGTAGTAGGGTCTCCTGCTTGAGCAGGGGGATGAACTAGATGACCTCCAAGGTCCCTTCCAACTCGGCTATTCTGTGATTCTGTCAGGGTCTCCTGCTTGAGCAGGGGGTTGGTTGGACTAGATGACCTCCAAGGTCCCTTCCAACTCTGTTGTTCTGTTATTTTCTCATTCTCTGCCTGTCTGTCTGTCTGTCTCACACACACACACACACACACACACACACACACACACACACACACGGGATGGACTAGAAGATCTCCAAGGTCCCTTCCAACTCTGCTATTCTATGATTCTGTCAGGGTCTCCTGCTTGAGCAGGGGGTTGGACTAGATGACCTCCAAGGTCCCTTCCCGTTCTGTTCTGTTATTTTCTCATTCTCTGCCTGCCTCTCTGTCCGTCTGTCTGTCTGTCTCTCTCTCTCTCCCTCCTACACACACACACACACACACACACGGGATGGACTAGAAGATCTCCAAGATCTCGTTTCCAACTCTGCTATTCTATGATTCTGTCAGGGTCTCCTGCTTGAACAGGGGGTTGGACTAGAAGACCTCCAGGGTCCCTTCCAGCTTTATTCTGATTGATAACCAGCTAGGAATTCCCACCAGGCAGGGGAAAAAAAAAAAAAAAACCCACAAAATGCAAATTTCCCATCAGCTTTCTGCCAGCTCATGCAAACAAATGACGGCATTTTTAATCCTCTCTCACATCCCTTGCACTCCGTAAGATTGAGTTCAAACGATTATCCTGATATTGCAGAGGATAGGTTTATTCTGTTGTGGGTCGCCTGAGGTTGTGTTGCTTAGCAAATCGCAAATGTGCCTTACCAACCGAGACGTTCCTCCGAGTCAAAATGGTGCGTTGTGCGTCAAAGTTCAAGTTCAACCACGACGCCGGCTTCTGAAACCTCGTGCTTTGTTTTCGTCCGGCCGTTTACACCCCCCCCCCCGCAGCGTGTTACCCGCGTAGTAATGCAAGAATAACTACGGTAGTTTCTGCCTGTGAGAATTGGGTTTCGCGCGTGCTGCGATCGCTCGTTTGGGAACTTCACTAAATCCATTCTCCAGATGCGGGGATGTTTGATTTTCTGGTGGGGCTTCTTAATGCTTGGGTTGTTCTCTTTAGTGTTGCCTTTTATTGGCGTAAAAACGTATTAATAAAGGGGAAGAGCTCAGCTTGCTTGTTTTCTTGCAGACTTTTCATTGCCCAACTAGGTTAACCTCATCAGTGCTAGAAGGGAGGGGGGGTTGTGGAGAGGAGGAGGAGGAGGAGGACGACAACAACTATGGGGTCCTTGGTGCTCTCTGAGCTTGGAGATTTTCTTGGAGACGTTTCATGACCCAACTAGGGAACATCATCAGTGCTAGAATGGAGAGGAGTTTGCAGAGAGGAGGAGGAGGTGGTGGAGGAGGAGGAGGAGGAGAGGAAGAGGAAGAGGAGGAGGAGGAGGAGGAGGAGAAGAAGAACTGTGGGGTCCTTGGTGCTCTCTGAGCTTGGAGATTTTCTTGGAGACGTTTCATGACCCAACTAGGGAACATCATCAGAGCTAGTAAGGAGAGGAGTTTGCAAGGAGGAGGAGGAGGAAGAGAAAGAGAAGAAAGAGGAGGAGGAGGAGGAGGAGGAGGAGGAGAAAGACTATGGGGTCCTTGGTGCTCTCTGAGCTTGGAGATTTTCTTGCAGATGTTTCATGACCCAAGTAAGGGGCATCATCAGTGCTAGAATGGAGAGGAGTTTGCAGAGAGGTGGTGGTGGTGGTGGTGAAGGAGGAGGAGGAGGATAGGGAGGAGGAGGAGGAGGAGGAGAACTGTGGGGTCATTGGTGCTCTCTGAGCTTGGGGCTTTTCCTGCAGACATTTCATGACCCAACTAGGGAACATCATCAAAGCTAGTAAGGAGAGGAGTTTGTAAGGAGGAGGAAGAGAAGGAAGAAGAAGAAGAGGAGGAGGAGGAGGAGGAAGAGGAAGAGGAAGGAGAAGGAGAAGACAATGACTATGGGGTCCTTGGTGCTCTCAGAGCTTGGAGATTTTCTTGGAGACGTTTCATGACCCGACTAGGGAACATCATCAGAGCTAGTAAGGAGAGGAGTTTGTAAGGAGGAGGAAGAGAAGGAAGAAGAAGAAGAGGAGGAGGAGGAGGAGGAAGAGGAAGAGGAAGGAGAAGGAGAAGACAATGACTATGGGGTCCTTGGTGCTCTCAGAGCTTGGAGATTTTCTTGGAGACGTTTCATGACCCGACTAGGGAACATCATCAGAGCTAGTAAGGAGAGGAGTTTGTAAGGAGGAGGAAGAGAAGGAAGAAGAAGAAGAGGAGGAGGAGGAGGAGGAAGAGGAAGAGGAAGGAGAAGGAGAAGACAATGACTATGGGGTCCTTGGTGCTCTCAGAGCTTGGAGATTTTCTTGGAGACGTTTCATGACCCGACTAGGGAACATCATCAGAGCTAGTAAGGAGAGGAGTTTGCAGAGAGGAGGAGGAGGAGGAGGAAGAAGAAGAAAAGGTGGATATATATAATTTCTTTTCTGCGGTAGCATCCAGGGATCAAAAGAGGTTTTGATGGCCCTGGACAGCCATAACCTCACCCGCCCTACTCAGATCGGATGGACTCGGTTATCTTTACTCAGGAAGTAAGCATAAACAGGTGGTCTAATTTTGTCTCGCTGGGAAATGTGAGGAGACGAGAACTCCGTGGGATTATGATTGTATTTTTAAAGTCTTAGGAAAATGGGAGACCGCTGGCTGATATTCCTCTCCCATCAGATCATGCAGTCCGATATAACCAGGCATTTCCGAACAGGAGCTGGCACCGGTGTGGCTGTGTCGCTTGCGGGTTAGGATAAATTGTGTCCGAAGAACGGAAGTGTTCGTTTTGTTCTCTCTGCTCTGGAAAGGTTTAACGCAGGATGGAATTCAGATTTTGGGGGTTCTGTTTTGTAGCAAATTTAGGTGAGTATGTGCGGATTACAGCTTTAAAAAAAAAAATCACACGCATAACGCTCATTTGAATGATAAATACGCCAGGACCATCACCTATTAATAATTGTGGATAATATCTCCGTTTTGAAAGAGTGAGAACAGCACCTGTTTTATACCAGGACATGGTAACAGGCTGGATGAGGGCAGATCAACTATAATTAAGTTCTTTTAATGAGCTGTTTGTTTTCTAGCTAGGCGATGGGCATGCTCCAAAGGCACCTGAAATTGTGTGCTGTCGGTTTGTGCACACAAAAAAATGCACCTGGTTGAATTGTCTTAACAGTATGCGTTATTATTTATCCGTCTCTCCAGTTGTGTTCCATGGGGGCTGCCATTAGTTGCTTGGATGGGTAGATGGATGGATAATAACACATGTTTGTGTATGTACACCGTTAATATGTGGTAGTTGTGAGGTTTTTTTTTTTTCTGACGAGAAACAGTTGGGTTAGACCTGGCTAGGCTGTTAGGAATGCTAAGGAAGATTATTTTTATGTGTGATTGTGGCTGCAAGGCTGTTTTTACGGGCAAAAATGGAAATACTCTGAAATACGCACAGCGTAAGCTGTTTGATTAGAGGAAGATCAACAACTGCATTTGTCAGGGATAGGAAATCCTTACAGACTTTTTGTTGACAAAAAAGAGGAAAATGAACTTGTGATGGGGGTTGAACTTTTGAAAGTTAGCTTATGGAAAGAAGGAAATTATAATGTAACCGTAAAATGAGAGGATAAAATATAAATGCATTTATAACCACTGTCAAAAAGATCAGAACTAGCCTTCCTTCCTTCCTTCCTTCCTTCCTTCCTTCCTTCCTTCCTTCCTTCCCTCCCTCCCTCCCTTTCTTCTTCCCTCCCTCCCATCCCCCTCTTTCTTTCTTTCTTTCTTTCTTTCTTTCTTTCTTTCTTTCTTTCTTTCTTTCTCTCTCTCTCTTTCCTTTCTTTCCTTTCTTTCTTTCCTTCTTTCTCTTTCTTCCTTTTTCTTTCTCCATTCCTTCCTCCCTTCTTCCCATCATCCCTCCCTCCCCTCCCTCCCTTTCTTCTTCCCTCCCTCCCATCCCCCCTCTCTCTTTCTCTCTCTCTTTCTTTCTCTCTCTCTCTCTTTTCTTTCTTTCTTTCCTTCTTTCTTTCTCTTTCTTTCTTTTTCTTTCTCCCTTCCTCCCTTCTTCCCATCATCCCTCCCTCCCTCCTTCCCTCCCTCCCTCCCTTCCTCTTCTTTTGTTTTTTCTTTATTTCTTTTCTCCTATTTTGTTAAAAATTCCTTCCATAAACATTACATTTTTTAAAAGAACCACCTGGTTAGATTCTGCAATATATTGCATATCAAGTTGCCTCTGAAGATGTTGCAGAAACTTCAATTAAAATGATTTGACTAGTATTAGACAATCATTTCTACAGCTTTTTGTCCTCTGTAGCTGCCTCCCTGAGCATGTCCACATCCACTTTAAATTATATGGGATTATATGTGTTGTTGTAATTTATTACTCAGCCATGCTTCCTCATTCAATGGAGCCTCTGGAGAAATACTTCACGATTTGAACACAACAGTGAGTGAGTCAATAGTATTCTCTAGTTTCTTTTCAAACTCAAGTTGGAGGATGTTAGACCAGATTTGCTGAGCACAAGTTCCATATTTGAAGACTCTTATTATGTACATTAAAAAAGGTATTTTTATCAGTCCTGAATCTCCCTGCGATTAGTCTTAAGAGGTAAAAAAAAGATATTTAAAGAAGTGGCTTCTGATCTTCTTTACAGCTGTTATAATCAGATCTTATATGTTATATGTACGTAAGGATGTAGGTTTATACGTATGTTGTATATAGCATGTTTAAATGTGTGTTAGGTATGTGTACGCTTTTGAGAGCAAGGAATAAAATTTCATTTGCCAATGTGCCCACAGTAAAAAATGACAATAAAGGTTATCTATCTATCTGTCTGTCTGTCTGTCTGTCTGTCTGTCCATCCATTCACCCATCCACCTACCCTATCTGTCTGTCTGTCTGTCTGTCTCTCTCTCTCCACCCATCCATACACCCATCCATCCCTCCATCCACCCACCCACCCATCCATCCATCCATCCATCCATCCATCCACCCACCCACCCTCTCCTTTTTATCTATTTATCTATCTGTCTGTCTGTCTGTCTGTCTATCCATCCATCCATTCACCCATCCACCTACCCTATCTGTCTGTCTCTCTCTCTGTCTCCACCCATCCATCCCTCCATCCATCTATTCATCCATCCATCCATCCATCCATCCATCCATCCACCCACCCTCTCCTTTTTATCTGTCTGTCTTTCTTTCTTTCTTTCTTTCTTTCTTTCTTTCTTTCTTTCTTTCTTTCTTTCTTTCTTTCTATATCTGTCTGTGTGTCTATCTATCATCTATCTATCTGTCTATTTATCTATGTCTTTCTTTCTTTCTTTCTTTCTTTCTATATCTGTCTATCTGTGTGTCTATCTATCATCTATCTATCTGTCTATTTATCTATGTCTGTCTGTCTGTCTGTCTGTCTGTCTGTCTATCTATCTATCTATCTATCTATCTATCTATCTATCTATCTATCTATCTATCTATCTATCTATCTATCTATCTATCTACTCCTCTTCCTTTGAGGTTTTCTGATCCTTTTTAATGTTTGTTGGCCTCTTATTGTCCAAAAATATCTATTTTTATTGGCTTCCTAGTTTTGAAATACAGTCTTAATATATAGTTTAAGGTTACTTGTAGCCTATGGTGTATAACAGAACACATCAGGAAAAGAATTTTATGATAGAAATGAATTGGAAAGAGATTTTTCTTTTCCTATTATTAGCTTTGTTCTAGAATTTTCCCCCAAACATGGAAGAAAACAATTGTGTTTTCTGACCAGTTGGGCAAAACAGTTACAAGGAGATTTTTTTTTTATCATTAATTAGGCTATTTGGAATTTTTAAAAGAACACTCATTGCGTAGTTTTCTCCAGACTGACCTTAAAACTTCACTTAGATCAGCAACTTTTAGATATGTGTGAACTTCATTTCCCAGAATCCTCCAGGGAGCCAGATAGAAAAACAGAAAGGGAGTAGTTATTACAATAGATTGGCAGGAGCTAAACACATGTAATTATACTCCTATTTTGCATAAGATTAAAACAGTATTTAAGTAAGAGCAACATCTACTCATAATTATCACTGCAGAGTAGGAAGGCTGCATTTTAACAGTCTGTTTTTCCTAAAATTCTCATTTTGTTCAGTGGAATGTGACTTGAGTTTCGGCAACCTTTTTTTCCCACCTGCATTTATGTATGATTATAGAATCCTATTTATTACGGTCACCGTCCAACTAATTAACCAGCCAGCTTCTTAAAAGAATAATGTAACAAAACCCTTGAAATCATGATGTTGGAAGAGAAAAACATCAATATTGCCTTAAATGTTTCCAAAACATCAGTAATCCTCGACTTAATCCTCGATTCATTTAGTGACCGTTCCAAGTGAGAATGGCACTGCAAAAGGGCGACTTAGGACCGTGTTTCACACTTATGACCGTTGCAGAATCGAAACTCACACACCTGGCAACTGACTCGTATTTATGACCGTTGCAGAATCCCAGGGAGTCACGTGACTCTGGGACACGGCAACCGTCATAAATACGAGTCGGCTGCCAAGCATCCGATTTTCAGTCACTTGACATGGGGGATGCTGCAACGGTCGTAAGTGTGAAAAACAGCCCTAAGTCAACTTTTTTCAGTGCCAGCTAAGCAAAAAAGTTGGTATTTGTATACCTCACTTCAGCGGAAGAGCTGAAATGTCCTGAAAAAGTGAGTTTTGAGCCAAAAACTAGAGCTGGCAAAGATTGACTTTAAAATCCGGAGCAATCACGTAATCCAGATTAAGAATCTGGACTGGATTGTAGCTAAGGACAATTTATATATATACAGGTCGTCCTTGGCTCGTAAACAGGTTGTTTACTGACTGTTCAAAGTTACAACAGCACTGAAAAAACTGACTTATGATGACCTTTGCAGTATCCCTGGGTCACGTGATCAAAATTTAGGTGCTTGGCTACTACTTACTCATATTTATGACGGTCGCAGTGTCCCTGGAGTCAACGCAAACAAACCTGTGACAAGCAGAGTTAATGGAGAAGCCAGATTTCAGTTAAAAACGGTGTTACTAACTGCAGTGTAAGTGCAGTTACTAAATGTCCTCAAGTGCAGCGATTGACTTAACGACTCTGGCAAAAAAAAAAAGGTCATAAAATGGGGCATAATTCGCTGAACGAACGTCTCGCTTAACAACAGAAAGTTTGGGCTCCATTTAATGTCGTACGTGGAGGACTAGCTGCATACGTACAGACCGTGGAGCCACATAACATTTCGGAAACTGATTTTAAGTTTAAAAAAACTTTAAACTTTTAAGTTTTTAAAACCAGTGGGTTTATATTCCCTCCCGCAAGGAAGACTTGGAAGACAGACGGTCCTTGATTTACAACCGTTTTGTGTGCTCCGCTGGAGGAACAACAACAGTCTTGTGGAAGTGACCTTGCAGTGGCTGCGGGTCTTTTAAGGCCACAAAATTGTTTTCTGAGAATTTGGCTGAAATCTCTTCCAGAGAACAGCAACAACCGTTTCCTACATTATCAGGAGATTTAGGTCACTCCTGTCGGATTCTCAATGTCCCACCGACCAGCAGGAGGAACACAATTGTGGCAATTTGTGTTCCAACAAATTGTAAAGCCAATTCATTATCTTAATTCTTTCTGTTATCGTTATTGGGGTATCCGAGACGGGTGGCTGTGTTCTCCTGCATACAAATTGGGTTTGAGTCGACAATACAGTTGCCAAAGGAAAGGTGTTTTTTGTTGTTGTTGTTGTGTTTTTTTATAAATTATACTGCTTTAAAAACTAGCATTTCCTTCCTTTGGGGCTCTCTTTAAGGGTTATTTCAGTTCTCCTGAGCAATAAATAGTCTTACTGTATTACGTGCTGCCCCTTAAGGAGGATTTATTTCTGTTTATTGCTTCTTGTTGAGAAAAGTATATTCCTTTTTAATTGCTTGGTTCTGAGGCAAAAAACTTCACAAATGTCGTGGTAGGCAACCAGGCCTGTCTTTCTGGTCCTCAACTTACAACTGTTCATTTAGTGGCCGTTCAAAGGGACAACAGCACTGAACGAAGTGACTTATGGCTGTTTTTCACACTTACGACCGTTGTAGCATCCCTGAGGTCACGTGATCAAAATTCAGAGGCTTGGCAACTGGCGTGTACTTATGACAGTTGCAGAGTCCTGGGGTCACGTGATTCCTCTTTTGCAACCATCTGACAAGCAAAGTCAATGGGGGGGGGGAGAAGCCAGATTCACTTAACGACTGGGTTACTGACTTAAGAACTGCAGGGATTGACTTAACAACCGTGACAAGTCATAAAACGGGGCAAAATTCACTTAACCCACGTCTCGTTTAGCCATGGAAATTTTGGTCATAAGTCAAGTATGTGATTCAACTCAGGAGAATGGAAAGCCATTAGAATTGGCGGGAAGCGTTGTATATTAGATGACAAGGAAAAAAGAATAATTTAAGATAATTCAACGGATTTCTTTCGGTGTGTCCTAGCAAATTCGTTCACTGTTAACCTGGCGCTGGACTTTTTGCTGCACACATTACAATGGTCCCCGACTTACGGCCAGGATTGAAACCCACAATTTCGTCGCTAAGCGAGACCTTTGTTAAGTGAGTTTTGCCCCGTTTTACAACCTTTCTGGCCACGGTTGTTAAATGAATCACTGCAGTTGTTAACGTGAGTGACTCGGCTCCTCATTGACGTCGTTTATCAGAAGGTCGCGAAAGGGGATCGCGCGACGCCCCCGGGACACACTGCGACCGTCATAAATGTGAGTCCGTTGCCCAGCGTCGGAATTTGGATCGTGCGACCCTGGCGATGCGGCAACCGAAATTTGGGGGGGGGGGTTCGTAAGTGGAGAGCTCCCTCTGCCAAGTTTCTAGTAGGTATAATACGGTCTCGTTGATGGAAGATGAAAGAGATGGAAAGTATCCCCTGATTAAAAAAAATGCTTGGTCTGATAAAGTCCCATTTTCTTGGGCTTCTGGTTCTGTCCCTCTCATGAAGTTGTTTCTTCTTTCAAGATGGCGGCCTGTAGAAGACCAGGGGCGACCTAGAAGAAGACGGGTGAAGGCCCTCGCCATCCGAAGCAGAGGAGACCTGGGGGCTGTCTCCCAGCATGGACCTTCAAGAAGAGAGCCTCGGGGGCTGAAGGCCGCGGGGCTCTTGCGTTTGGGTAGGCACCATCGGTGGTCATAGGAGCGCGTGATGGAGAGGACGGGGTGGGGTGAGGTGGGGGGCTGGGACAACTGAAGAGATGTTGTCTTGAGCTGAATTACAACTCTTAGGTCCGTAATAAAGCCAGAATCACAAGGGGGAGGGCATTTCAGAGTGCTTCTTGGTCCCAATCCTTAACTTTATGTTCTCCTTCTCCTCCTCCTCTTTGTGCTCTCCTCCTCCTTCTCCTCCTCTTCCTCCTTCTTTTTCTGCTTCTCCTTTTCCTGCTTCTCCCTCTCCTCCTCCTCCTCCTCCTCCTCTTCTGCTCCTTCTCCTCCTTCTCCTTCTCCTCCTCCTCCTGCTCCTTCTTTTTCTGCTTCTCCTTTTCCTGCTTCTCCCTCTCCTCCTCCTCCTCCTCCTCCTCCTCCTCCTCCTCCTCCTCCTCTTCTGCTCCTTCTCCTCCTTCTCCCTCTCCTCCTCCTGCTCCTTCTTTTTCTGCTTCTCCTTTTCCTGCTTCTCCCTCTCCTCTTCCTCCTTCTCCTCCTCCTCCTCCTCCTCCTCCTCCTCCTCCTCCTCCTCTTCTGCTCCTCCTCCCTCTCCTGCTCCTCCTTCTGCTCCTCCTCCTCCTCCCTCTCCCGCTCCTGCTCCTCCTCCTCCTATTTCTTCTTCTCCTTTTCCTGCTTCTCCCTCTCCTCCTCCTCCTTCTCCCTCTCCTCCTCCTCCTCCTCCTCCTCCTCCTCCTTCTCCCTCTCCTCCTCCTCCTCCTCCTCCTCCTCCCCCTCTCCTCTTCCTCCTTCTCCTCCTCCTCCTCCTCCTCCTCCTCCTCCTCCTCCTCCTCTTCTGCTCCTCCTCCCTCTCCTGCTCCTCCTTCTGCTCCTCCTCCTCCTCCCTCTCCCGCTCCTGCTCCTCCTCCTCCTATTTCTTCTTCTCCTTTTCCTGCTTCTCCCTCTCCTCCTCCTCCTTCTCCCTCTCCTGCTTCTCTTCTTTTTCCTTCTCCTTTTTCTGCTTCTCCTCTTTTTCCTGCTTCTCCCTCTCCTCCTCCTCCTCTTTTTATCAACTTGATATTGCACAGTGTAGCCAGCGGTAGATTAATTAAAAAGCGTAATCCGTTTTTGCATTTTAGAGATTATTGAATTCGTCGGTGAAAATAAAAATTAAAACATGGACGGTCCTGTCAGGGTCCAAAGCTGTCAGAAGAATCCTAGAGGAGGAGTGAAAAAGGTAAAAAACCCAGTTCTTGATCATATTGATTTGGCCAAGCTTCTCTCTTTGATGGTTTACGAGAAAGTTTTTTTTTTTTTTTTTACTTGGTTAAGGAAAGCATGTTTCAGGCCATTTAGCAAGGAGGCTGCTGTGACAAGTTCAGCAAGTCCCACAATCTGTAGGTCAGCCTTGAAAAAGAGTTTTTAAAGATGGAGTCAACGAGTTGACCAAGTCCAGTCTGAACCAATGAGATATATAATAATAATAACAACAACAAAAACAACAGCAACAACAATAACAACAATAATAATAAAGTTGGAAGGGACCTTGGAGGTCATCAAGTCCAACCCCCTGCTCAGGCAGGTAATCCTATACCATTTCAGACAAATGGCTGTCCAGTCTCTTCTTAAAAACTTGCAGTGTTGGAGCATTTACTGCTTCTGGAGGCAGGATGTTCCACTGGTTGACTGTTCTCACTGTCAGGAAGTTTCTCCTTAGTTCTAGGTTGCTTCTCTCCTTGGTTAGTTTCCATCTGTTGCTTCTTGTCCTGCCTTCAGGGGCTTTGGAGAAGAGCTTGACTCCCTCTTCTTTGGTGCAGCCCCTGAGATACTGGAACACTGCTATCCTGTCCCCCCTCGTCCTTCTCTTCGTTAAACTAGACATACCCAATTCTAGCAATTGTTCCTTATTTGTTTTAGCCTCCAGTCCCCTAATCATCTTTGTTGCTCTTCTCTGCACTCTTTTCAAAGTCTCAACATCTTTTTTACATCGTGGTGACCAAAACTGGATGCAGGATTCCAAATGTGGCCTTGCCAAGGCCTTGTAAAGTGGTATTAATACTTCACGTGATCTTGATTTCACGTGATTTCCTCCGGAGAGTTTTAGAAAAACAATTTGGCCCTAAGACAACCTCAACATCACTTGAATTTCTCTTTTTCTGAATAGGAATAATTTATCTCCTTTTCCTAGAGGAAAACAAGTCCTTGTCTCAAATCCCCTTTGATACCCTCATCCAGCATTTGCTGGAACGAGCAATTATAATAAATTTTAACTCAATAAACCCTTCAGACCAAATCTGTGGGACACCCCTCTTGAGATTCTTCTCCTCAGCAAGTCTCCTAGCATTTGGGGAGCCTTCAAAAAAGATGACCCCCCCCCCCTCCCCAAATTCTTACACTTAGTTTGAACAATAGGAAAATCAAAAACTTAAGACATCAGGATAAAATAAAAGTTTCTACGGAATCCTGAATAAAAAAAAAGGGGGGGGGACCCAAAACCCTGCAGGGAATAGCTACAGATAAAGTGTAGCTTGGGACCGCAACTGACCCCAAAATTTTGGTTGTTAAGAAAGACCATTGTTAAGCGAGGTTTGTCTCATTATACGGCCTTTCTTGCCCCATTGCCGCTGTTAAGTGAGTAACACGGTTGTTAAATAAAGCTTGGCTTCCCCATCAAGTTTGCTTGTCAGAGGATTACAAAAGGGGAAATCGCATTTTACCACAGCAGAGTCCCAAATTTCTGTTTTGCCTCATTTCACGGCCTTTTTTTTTTTTTTGCCACCTTTGCGTCTGTGGATCCTGCAGCTGTGCAGCGAGTGACGTGTTTGTGAAGTGGAATGGGCTTCCCCCATCGGCCTTGCTTGTCAGAAAGGTTGCAAAAAGCCATCGCATTTACCAATCTCCTTATTTATTTCTCTCTCTCTCTCTCTCAAAAGCAGAACTTGGGCGAACCTTCCCTCTCTCCAATGACGCCGTTTTTGCAAAGTCAAAAACCGCTGTGCGCCGTCTCCGCAGAAGACTCGCCCAAAGAAGATGAAAATGTCAACGAGGTCAGGCCGTTGTGCAGCCTTGTGTGTGTGTGTGTGTGTGTGTGTGTGTGTGTTTCAATTGATAACAATATTAATTACGCCCTTCACTCTGTCCTTCAGCCAGGAGGAGAGAGAGAGAGAGACACCCCTCCCTCCGTCACGTTCGCCATCTTCTATCTTCTATTACTTTTATTTATTTTTAGGACCTGTTATTAGATGATGGAATAAAATGCCAAAATGCAAAAGCAAACGGGGCACGGTGGGGAGGGAAAGGGGAAAGGAAAGTGAGGAGGAGAGGGGGAAAGGGAAGGAAAGGAAGATAGAAAAAAGGAAAGGAAAGGGGGATAGAAGAAAGGAAAGAAAGATAGAAAAAAGGAAAGGGAGATAGAAAAAAGGAAAGAAAGATAGAAAAAAGGAAAGGGAGATAGAAAAAAGGAAAGGAAAGAAGAAGAAAGAGATAGAAAAAAGGAAAGGAAAGGGAGATAGAAGAAAGGAAAGGAAAGGAAGATAGAAAAAAGGAAAGGAAAGGGAGATAGAAGAAAGGAAAGGGAGATAGAAAAAAGGAAAGAAAGATAGAAAAAAGGAAAGAGAGATAGAAAAAAGGAAAGGAAAGAAGAAGAAAGAGATAGAAAAAAGGAAAGGAAAGGAAAGGGAGATAGAAGAAAGGAAAGGAAAGGAAGATAGAAAAAAGGAAAGGAAAGGGAGATAGAAGAAAGGAAAGGAAGATAGAAAAAAGGAAAGGGAGATAGAAGAAAGGAAAAAAGATAGAAAAAAGGAAAGGAAAGGAAGATAGAAAAAAGGAAAGGAAAGGGAGATAGAAGAAAGGAAAAAAGATAGAAAAAAGGAAAGGAAATAGAAAAAAGGAAAGGATAGAAGAAAAAAGGAAAGGGAAAGGAAGATAGAAAAAAGGAAAGGAAAGGGAGATAGAAGAAAGGAAAGGGAGATAGAAGAAAGGAAAGGGAGATAGAAGAAAGGAAAGGAAAGGGATAGATAGAAGAAAGGAAAGGGAAAGGATAGAAAAAAAAGGAAAGGAAAGGGAGATAGAAGAAAGGAAAGGGAGATAGAAGAAAGGAAAGGAAAGAGATAGAAGAAAGGAAAGGGAGATAGAAGAAAGGAAAGGGAGATAGAAGAAAGGAAAGGAAAGGGAGATAGAAGAAAGGAAAGGGAGATAGAAGAAAGGAAAGGGAGATAGAAGAAAAAGGAAGATAGAAAAAAGGAAAGGAAAGGGAGATAGAAGAAAGGAAAGGGAGATAGAAGAAAGGAAAGGGAGATAGAAGAAAGGAAAAAAGATAGAAAAAAGGAAAGGAAAGGAAAAAAGGAAAGGAAAGGGAGATAGAAGAAAGGAAAGGAAAGGGATAGAAGAAAGGAAAGGGAGATAGAAGAAAGGAAAAAAGATAGAAAAAAGGAAAGGAAAGGAAGATAGAAAAAAGGAAAGGAAAGGGAGATAGAAGAAAGGAAAAAAGATAGAAAAAAGGAAAGGAAGATAGAAAAAAGGAAAGGAAAGGGAGATAGAAGAAAGGAAAGGAAGATAGAAAAAAGGAAAGGAAGATAGAAAAAAGGAAAGGAAAGGGAGATAGAAGAAAGGAAAGGAAGATAGAAAAAAGGAAAGGGAGATAGAAGAAAGGAAAGGGAGATAGAAGAAAGGAAAGGAAGATAGAAAAAAGGAAAGGAAAGGAAGATAGAAAAAAGGAAAGGAAAGGGAGATAGAAGAAAGGAAAGGAAGATTTAAAAAAAGGAAAGGCGTTGATTTACGACTCCCTCTGTTGCAGTAGAATAAATTGATAACATCAAACCTTACTTTTATGTCCTAGTATAAATTAGTCATTTCTATAACAATGAATCAATCTAAGCAGTAAAGCCCCAAATCAAAGTTAAAATACACTTAAAACCTGTATATACAGTATTTCTTTCCACAATGTACGTGACCTCTCTTTATTTGTGTATTTCTATTCCAGGTCACATTTCTCTGTTTTGCTAATGACTCAGCTGTGGCAGCCAAGGTGAGTTCTTTCAGAAAGAAGACTGCATCAATTCAATATTTCTGGGTGGGTTGTTTTTGGGGACCGGGGCCCTGACCATCGCTTTTTCTTATTAAGAGAAATTAAAAGAGACTCATGAAGGTACTTGAATAGCAAAAGAGGCCAGGTGTCGCAATACAAGTAGTCCTCGACTTAACCACCGCAACGGAGCCCAGAATTTCTGTCGCTAAGTGAGACAGGTTTTAAATGAGCTTTTTGCCCCATTTTTCTGTCCTTTCTTGCTACAGCCGTTTAGCGAATCCCTGCAGTTGTTACGTTCGTAACACGGTTGTTAAGTGGATCTGGATTTCCCACTGACATTTCCGTTGCTAAGCGAGGCATTTGCCAAGGGAGTTTGGCCCCGTTTTACGGCTTTTCCTGCCACAGTTGTTAAATGAATCCCTGCAGTTGTTAAGTCAGTAACGCGGTTTCTTAAGCGAATCCGGCTTCAACCATTGGCTCTGCCTGTCAGAAGGTCTGCAAAAGGGGATCACGTGACGCCGGGACGCTGAAACTGTCATAAGTACATGCCAGTTGCCGAGCCTCTGAATTCTGATAATAATAGTAGTAAAGTTGGAAGGGACCTTGGAGGTCATCTAGTCCAACCCCCTGCTCAGGCAGGAAACCCTACACCATTTCGGACAAATGGCTGTCCAGTCTCTTCTTAAAAACTTCCAGTGTTGGAGCATTTACTGCTTCTGGTCACGTGACCACTTTACTGATCACGTGACCACGGGGAGTGCTGCAACCGTTGTGTGAAAAACGGTCATCCGTCCTCTGTTTCAGTGCCGTGGTAACTTTGAACGGTCACTAAATCAACTGTTGTAAGTTTTCTTGTGTTTGGTTGAAAAACTCGCCGGCGGAATCTGCTGATAATTTCCCTCCTCAAGTTGCATTGTTCTCAGTTGTGCTCTGCTGGGTTTAGGAATTGGCAACCGTCTCTGTAGGCCTTCCAGATGTTCTGAAATCAGCCCAGTGGTGCAGTTTGCACGACCAGGAAGCTCTTCTGCTAAAGGATGTGTGCAAACCGGCGGAGACGAGTCACGACTTCCGACAAAAGGTAAGAGAATCGCATATGAGGTTGTTTGTCTGCTTTTCAAAGATCTGTTAAGGTGACTCAGTGCTCTGGATGAAAAGAATCTGAACCAATAATAATAATATAATAGTAAGTAGTAGGAGTAGTAGTAGTAGTAGTAGTTGGGAGGGACCTTGGAGGTAGAATATGGAATGGAATGGAATGGAATGGAATGGAATGGAATAGAATAGAATAGAATAGAATAGAATAGAATAGAATAGAATAGAATAGAATAGAATATATGGAATATAATAGAATAGGGAATAGAATAGGGAATAGAATAGGGAATAGAATAGAATAGAATAGAATAGAATAGAATAGAATAGAATAGAATAGAATAGAATAGCAATATGAACGGAATAGAATAGAGTAGAGTAGAGTAGGATAGGATAAGATAGGATAGAATGGAATGAAGAATAAAGTAGAATAGAGTAGCATAGAATGGAATGGAATGGAATGAAGAGTAGAGTAGAACAGAACAGAATAGGAGCTGGAAGGGACCTTGGAGGTCATCTAGTCCAACCCCCTGCTCAGGCAGGAAACCCTATCCCATTTCAGACAAATGGCTGTCCAGTCTCTTCTTAAAAACCTCCAGTGTTGGAGCATTCACCGCTTCTGGAGGCAGGTTGTTCCACTGGTTAATTGTTCTCAATGTCAGGAAATTTCTCCTTAGTTCCAGGTTGCTTCTCTCTTTGATCAGTTTAATCAGATTAATTTAATTTAATCAGATTAATCAGCCCATTTATGATATACAGATAGTCCTTGACTTACAAATGAGTCCATAATTTCTGTCACTAAAAAAATAAAAATGTTTGATTTTATTTATCCCTTGTGGAATTGCTGTACCTCCCAAAGATGGTGATGGTGAAACATTTACTGGCAAACTAACACATACACACCCTCTAAATTCTACTGCTACCTGTATTTAAAAGACATTTATTTTGAAGCGTAACAATACCAAACAAAAGACAAGACAAACGGCAGGACAAGAAGCAACGGATGGAAACTCATCAAGGAGAGAAGCAACCTGGAACTAAGGAGAAACTTGCTGACAGTGAGAACAATTAACCAGTGGAACAACCTGCCTCCAGAAGCGGTGAATGCTCCCAACACTGGACATTTTTAAGAAGAGACTGGACAGCCAGTTGTCTGAATGATATAGGGTTTCCTGCCTGAGCAAGGGGTTAGACTAGATGATCTCCAAAGTCCCTTTCAACTCTATTATTATTATTATTGATCATTGCACAGTCAGCCAGATGTTCAGACTAGATCTGGCATTTTGTCTACCTATCGAGTCCTTACCCAGGACCTGGGATAGGCAGATGTGGATGTTTGATGGTATTACAGATCTCGTCGCAGGATGGAAGCAGGTCCTAGTAAGGCCGCCTTTTGCAATTGACTAATGGCAAATTTGTCAGTGCCGATGATGGTGTTCAAGTGGTGCTTCAGTTGTTTTGGGATTGCACCCAAGGCGCCTATGACTATTGGTATTACCCTTGCTTGCTTTTGCCACAGTCTTTCTATTTCTATTTGTAGGTCTTTGTATTTTGTTATCTTCTCCAGTTCTTTCTCGTCTATTCTGCTGTCTCCAGGAACTGCCACGTCCACTATCCAGACTTTTTTGTCTTTCTTATCGACAATTGTTAAGTCTGGGGTGTTATGTGGCAGGTGCTTGTCTGTTTGAATTCTGAATCATCATCATCATCATCATCAAATCTTCCACTCAGTTTTTCCTTATTTTGGAGGGTTAAAAAATATCCTTCATGACTGCAGTTCTGCACCAATTACAGCAAACGTCAGAAGTAGCAGGTTTAGCATGATTGTGTGATCCAAATTCAGATGCTCGGCAATTGGTTCATACTTAGGACCGTTGCCGTTGCCCAAAGTCACGTGATCCCCTTTTCCTGACCGGCAAAATCAACGGGGGAAGCCATTATTCACCCAACAACCAGGTTACCAACTTACCAACTGCAGGGATTCCCCTAACCGCTGTGGGGAGAAAGGTCATAAAATGGGGCAAAATTCACTTCACCGATGTCTCGCTTAAATGCGGGGCTCCATTGTGTTCGTAAGTCGAGGACTATCCGATAAACAACCTGTGGGTTTTTTTTCCCCTTTCCAGCGGAATTGCGCGTCGCGAGTGCTGTGCGTGATGAGGTTGTCTCCTTCGATTCCGCGGCTGAGAGCGGAGACAGTCGTTGCTCTGCTGAGCAAGTACTCAGCTGCGATCAGATGCACGGAGGAAAGGCACGCCTTGCCGAAACCGGCGCCGGACTCCACCCACGCCGAGAACGATGACACCAATCAATCCGTGTCCTCCATTGAAGACGATTTTGTGACGGCTTTAGAGCACTTGGATGAGGAGGACCCGGCAAAGGCCGTCCATACTGGTGAGTCACCCCTGGAGTATTGTGCCTTCTTCAGCGTTTTCAGGTTTATGCAATGTACGTTTAAGGATGGCATGGTCTAATTAAAGTTTACTTTGCAGAAATATTTCTGTACATTATATATTGTATAAGAGCCATGGGTGATGCAGTGGTTAGGAGGCAGTATTGCAGGGAAAACTCTGCTCATTGTCAGGAGTTCCATCCTGACCAGCTCAAGGTTGACTTAGCCTTCTGAGAGATCCGTCTGTCTGTCTAGCTATCTAGCTATCTAGCTACCTAGCTATCTAGCTAGCTACCTAGCTACCTAGCTATCTAGCTGTCTATCATCCATCCATCCATCCATCCATCCATCCATCCATCCATCCATCCATCTAGCTAACTAGCTAGCTACCTAGCTGTCTATCATCTATCTGTCTGTCTGTCTGTCTGTCTATCTATCTAGCTAGCTAGCTAGCTAGCTATCATCTATATCTACCTATCTATCATCTATCTTATCTATCATCAATATCTATCTATCTGCCGTGGTGGTGTAGTGGTTAGAATGCAGCATTGCAGGCAAACTCTGCTCAGTGTCAGCAGTTCAATCCTGGCCAGCTCAAGGTTGTCTCAGCCTTCTGAGAGATCGATCTATTTATCTGTCTGTCTGTCTGTCTATATCTCTATCTATCTGTCTGTCTGTCGTCTCTCTCTCTCTCTCTCTCTCTGTCTACATCTATCTATCTATCTATCCATCCATCCATCCATCCATCCATCCATCTGCTGTGGTGGTGCAGTGGTTAGAATGCAGCATTGCAGGCAAACTCTGCTCAGTGTCAGCAGTTCAATCCTGGCCAGCTCAAGGTTGTCTCAGCCTTCCATCCTTTCAAGGTTGGTAAAATGAAGACCCAGACGGTTGGGGGGCAAGAGGCTGACTCTGTAAATGGCATGAGAGGGCTGTAAAACACTATGAAGCAATATATAAGTCTACTGCTATTTTATTTCCCCTAAAATGCTTCTAGACCCAAATCTAGAAGCAAACTGAGAAAATAAAGCGCATAGGTGGATCTGGTGACTAGATATTTTTTTTTTCATGACAAGCATCTGTGCCAGATTTTGTCGCCATCTCATTTCCTGACTTTCATGCAGTGATCTGTGCAATCTATTTTGGTGTGGTGTCCTTGGCGCTCTCTGAACTTGGTTGTTTTCTTGTAGACATTGCATTACTCAACTAGGTAACATCATCGGTGGTAGGTGATAATGTTAGCATAAACAGGCTTAGTTTTTTAGAAATGTCTGCAAGAAAATAACCAAGCTCAGAGAACACCAAGGACCCCACAGTTCAGCCCTGAGCTACTAATATATTTTTGTGTTTCGGAGTTGCTGTGTCCGTCCCTGTGCTAATAGAAAGAATTGGTTGTAGTAGACTAGAATTGCGGTATACAAGTGTCTGCCAGAAGTTACTAAGCATGATAATGTTTTACAATAAAAATAATCGCGCCTTACTTGAAACGTTCTACTTGCCTCCAAACGGTGTAATTAGATATAAGTCATTTTGTACTTATACAGCACCAAAAAAAAAAAAAAGACAGAACTATGTAGAATGTGGCACATAACTGATCCTTCGGGCTTTTAAAGCAAAACAATTAGCAATAATGCTCCTAGCATAATTGTCATTTTTGCCCTATTTCAACATTAAAAAGCCATATATTGTGAATTAATACCCACACAAAGCTCACAGTTATAGCATGTAGACAAGCATAACAGCCCATGTGCGCTCACCAGATATTATTCTCTTTGTAATTACATCAAATACATTGTTGTTTCCATGTTATTTTTGTTCTGACAAACAGAGAAATAAATAAAACCTGCTCCTTTTTTTGGTAGCGTAGCTCTGATATTGTCTTTCTAAATATCTCAGAGAGTGAGAGTTATTCAAAATTAGGTGTTCTAGAGAGACATATCTTGGGGCAAATTAATGTCACTATGTCAACCTTGCAGACATTACAGGATTTAAGCAATCAGCGTTTATTAATTCAGGAAGAAGAATTGACCACTTTTCAAAACCTACACTAAAGGTATTGAAAATACTTTTTGAAACAATACACTAAAGGTATTGAAAACATACTTTAAAAAAAAATAAAAATAAAAATTGCAGAGCGTGCCAATAGCTTAGCAGCATAAATGCTGTTGCCTTTACGGCTGGCTGCACCGTTTTTTATTCAATATAATGAGAAATATTTTCAAGTGATCTGGAAGAATTTAACAGAAGAACAGTAGAGTTGGAAGGGACCTTGGAGATAATAATAATAATAATAATAATAATAATAATAATAATAATAATAATAATAACAACAACAACAACAACAACAACAACAACAACAACAACAACAACACCCCAGACTTAACAATTGTCGATAAGAAAGACAAAAAAGTCTGGATAGTGGATGTGGCAGTGCCTGGAGACAGCAGAATAGACGAGAAAGAACTGGAGAAGATAACAAAATACAAAGACCTACAAATAGAAATAGAAAGACTGTGGCAAAAGCAAGCAAGGGTAGTACCAATAGTCATAGGCTCCTTGGGTGCAATCCCAAAACAACTGGAGCACCACTTGAACACCATTGGCATTGACAAATTCGCTATTAGTCAATTGCAAAAGGCGGTCTTACTAGGAACTGCTTCCATCCTGCGACGATATCTGTAATACCATCAAACATCCACATCTGCCTATCCCAGGTCCTGGGTAAGGACTCGATAGGTAGACAAAATGCCAAATCCAGTCTGAACATCTGGCTGACTGTGCGATGATCCATAATAATAATAATAATAATAATAATAATAATAATAATAATAATAATAATAATAATAATAATAATAATAGAAGAGCTGGAAGGGACCTTGGAGGTCTTCTAGCCCAACCCCCTGCTTAAGCACCATTTCAGACAACTGGCTGTCCAGTCTCTTTTTAAAAAAACTCAAGTAATGCAGCATCCACAACTTCTGGAGGCAAGCTGTTCCACTGGTGGATGGTTCTCACTGTCAGGAAATTTCTCCTTAATTTCAGGTTGGTTTTCTGCTTAGCGCTTAGCAATAAGCCCTTAGACCAGTGGTTCTCAACCTGTGGGTCGGGACCCCATTTGGGGTCGAACGACCATTTCACGGGGGTCGCCAAACAAGGCTGTCCGCCATTTTTCCCCCTTTTCTTTGGCCACGCCCCTGGCACCCAGTGATGCATAAGTGGTTGGGGGTCACCACAACATGGGGAACTGTATTATGGGGTCGCGGCATTAGAAAGGTTGAGAACCACTGCCTTAGACTTATATCCCTCTTCACAGTGCTTTACAGCCCTCTCTAAGCAGTTTACAGAGTCAACCTATTGTCCTCCAACAATCTGGGTCCTCGTTTTACCGACCTCGTAAGGATGGAAGGGTGAGTCAACCTTGAGCTGGTCAGGATCAAACTCCTGGCAGTGAGCAGAATCAGCCTGCAATACTGCATTCTAACAGGAAGGAAGGAAGGAAGGAAGGAAGGAAGGAAGGAAGGAAGGAAGGAAGGAAGGAAGGAAGGAAGGAAGGAAGGAAGGAAGGGCAATAAGCCCTTAGACTTATATCCCTCTTCACAGTGCTTTACAGCCCCCTCTAAGCAGTTTACAGAGTCACCCTTTTGCCCCCAACAATCTGGGTCTTTGTTTTACCGACCTTGGAAGGATGGAAGATGAGTCAATCTTGAGCCGGTCAGGATCAAACTCCTGGCAGTGGGCAGAGTCAGCCTGCAATGCGGCATTCTAACCACTGTGCCATCAAGGAAGGAATGAAGGGAGGGAAGGAGAGAGGGAGGGAGGGAGGGAGGAAGGAAGGAAGGAAAGAAGGAAGGGGCAATAGCAATAGCACTTAGACTTATGTATTGCTTCACAGTGCTTTATGGCCCCTCTCTAAGCGGTGTCAATGCTGCAAATACTGTATATTCTTGCCTTGACAATATGCAAAACTGTTTGGCATTTATTGGGTTAATACTTAGCTTAGACTGGGCGGGGGGAAAAAGCCTGGGAAAGAAAGAGGAAGTAAACTTTTGACCTTCTCACTAATTGGATAATGTGACCTGTGACTGCATGAGAAGGGAGGGGTTGAGCAAGGAAAGCTTGATGCCAGCGACCGGAAGTTCAGATTCTGGCATCAACTAGTCCAATGGTGACCGGCATAAATTGTAGCTCTGCAAATAAAGACTTTGGGAAACATGCCTGAAAGTTCTTTGAAGTGCTTCTTTAGTCGGAACCTGTGACAAGCGGTTTACAGAGTCAGCACATTGCCCCCAACAATCTGGGTCCTCATTTTACTGACCTTGGAAGGATGGAAGGCTGCGTTAACCTTGAACCGGTCAGGATCGAACTGCCAGAAGCCACCGGCCACCCGAATTAGCCTGCAATACTGCATTCTAACCACTGTGCCACCATGGCGCATGGAGTTTCCTACGATAAATCCATTTTTTTTTGCCATTGTTTCCTATTTTTGCCAGTTGTCTGATTTTGATTCATGTGCCATTAAACGGGTGTCAGGTCTTAATAGCCACCTAGGTAGACCTTCTCTAAGATAGCTTACAAAAATGCCTTCTCTTTATTTTCTTTCTTCTCTCCCCCCCCCTTTTTTTTGAATAGAGCCTGAGAAGAGTCCAGAGTCTTCTCCAAAGACGAGCTTTGCCCATCATCTCAAATCTAATGATCAAAAGTCCTTCATCAGTTCTCTGTATCGGAGGCCATCGGTCAAGTCATCCATCTCCTTGGTGAACATCTTAGAACTTGAAGAACTGTCATCTTCCGTAAGAAATCCGGTCTCTGCTTCTCTTTCTGATCCTTGGATACAGAGAAGTTTTTTCAGGTCCCACGGTTCTTCGGATCGCAGTGTTAATTTTTTGCACAAAACCTTGTTCTCCTCCTCCCCTGCCGACTCGTCTGAGTCAGACTGCTCTAGTCCCAGCCCTGTCATATTCTTGGATGAAGAAGGGTATCAAAAAAGTTTGAAGGCAAAGCTTCAACTTCCTAAAATCCCAGTAGGGAAAGATGGGGTAGAGGATTCCGACTCTGAAGTCAGCGAGTTTTTTGATAGTTTTGACCAGTTTGATGAACGTGAACAAACTTTGGAAGACGGTCCTAAAGGTTCTCGAGATCCCACCGCCACAAGTCATATCTCACAGAAAAGCATTGTTTCGTGTAAGAAGCCCTGCTCCACAACGTCAATGAATCCACAGAAGTTCAAGTGTGATCGTCCAGTTCTCCCAGCCAATGTAAGGAAGCCAACTCCACGCAAACTGGAATACAACAATCTGCTGGATGTTCCAGATTCTCCCCGCCTGATCAAAAATCCAGCCGATGATCACACGGCCTTGTTTAGCCCAATCAGATCTTCTGCTTTCAGTCCATTAGGCACTTGCTTTCCCACAGAGTGCCTTTGTCGACTCAATCGGGATTCCTTTAGCCAAAACCACAACATTGTCTATCACACCTACTCGGATTTTGCAAATAATATTTCCTTTGAAATTCTGGGTTCTGTGTGTAATGCTAGACCACCTTCCTTGTGTAGATGCACACAGGAGATGATCAGCCAGGGTAGGATTGTCCCGGAAGAAGAGAAAGACCGGACGGCCAAAACCCAAAGAGAAATATCTAGAAAAGGACTGCATAAGAAAGATAAATCCAAACACAAGTCTGGAGTGATTAAAGACCACATCCAGAAATTTGCTTCGGAGCTGGTGGAAACAAGTTTTGGAAGTGCGTTTAAAGATCTTCAGAAGGGCGTTTCTTCATGTACCAACGCATTGTGTCAGTTGGCTGCTAAGTTGACTTCTTCGGTCTTCCAGATGGCCTTCTACGAGATTGGGAGGCAGCAGGCTCTTTTGCTGAAAAAGAAAGCCCTAAATGGTTTAGCAGGGTTTTTGGTGAGCCAAGCCGTCACAGGAGCTTTGAAAGAACTATACTCCGTAAAGCAACAAATGTTTACGAACACCGTTACCAAATTTGCAGCAAACCTTGCCGAGGAACTGATATTTGAGGGGATAATGGAAGTTTGTCAGTTTTCACATCCAGCGACGCCCACGGCATCTCATCAAGGCTCCTTCCAGTATGACAATACCGTCGTATGGTCCTATGCCGAGGACTTGTCTGAATCCGTCATCCAGGATGCTTTTATTGAGCTATCACAGGTTGATGTGAGCTTTACACCGCAAGCTGCAATCAGCGTTTCCGTGGACAACGTACAATATGTCAGCACGGAAAGGGTGGTGGAGTTAACCCAGACATCCAGTGGATCTTCTGAACTTTGTGAGAAAGGACCAGTGGCCTTAAACCCTGCTTGGGAATTCAGGAAGGAACACACTATTAGTAGAGCCTTGTTCTACACATCTGGCATTGCAAGTTCAATTCCGGTGCCCTTAGCCGGAAGCATCCTTTCTCAGCACCAGATTTTATGGAAGGAAGCCAAAGTCAAGAATCAATCGGCATCCGGGAGCACGCTCTCCTTCTACAAAGGGCCCACGGAAATGTGTTGTGCCCCCAGAAAGAATCAAAGTGAAGTATCCTCACTTAGAAATGTCTACCTGACCACTGGTTTCACACCGGAGAAGGAATGCAAGCCACCCAACCAGTCTGAGGCCAACAAATTTGCTGAAATATCAAGCATCAATAACTTTTCGGGAACGATGGTCGATATGATCGTGTCGGAAGCCTACGAAGCTGTCACTTCTTCCAGGCTTTCTAAATCGGCAGAGCAGTACACCGGCGTGCTGCAAATGAAGAATGCTCCCTATTTGCAGTGCATTGGGAAAGACTCCTGCAAGAATATGTTTGCTAACTATTTGACCAAACGGATCATAAAACAGTCTGTCGATGAGACAAAATCGACGTGTTCGGCTACTGGCGAAAAATTAGCCTACTGCGTTGGTCTGGGAACCAATGCAAGAAGCCGTAAGAAGGAATCGCAGAGCGTAGGGAAACAAGGAGACAATACAAAGAATATCCCGGTTATCGTGGGTCAGCAGCAGATGCCTTTAAACAACATATCGAAGTTTCATATCTCCACCGCTTCTCCGAATCGGTGTTTGCTGTTGGGGTGTAAAGACGGTGTTCAGGAAAAAAAGAAACAGGCGTCTTGCAAACCATCCCCAAGTACACTCTCTCCTGTCGTGTCATTTGTCAAATCTAATGAGCAGGTGCCAGATGTGGAGGACGGTTCAGCGATACCGATCAGTACTTTACTTGAAAAACAGAGCGTGTCTAAAGCCACAGGAGGTTCTGCGTTTGGTTGCGGAATGTCTTTTTCAGAAATAAATAACTGTTCCGTGGTGCCTAAGTGTGAAGATGCACTTCGGCTGGAAGATAAATTGAGTGTCGGAGAGAGAAATCTTCTCGCAGTGACAGAAACACCGCCATCTACGCCTTTAGTACCTTCTCAGGCAAGCTCGGAGTGGAGTTTAAGGACGTTAACAAAAAAGCTGAAAGGGGAATTAGCGAAGGAGTTCGCACCTGCTACACCGCCTTCGACTCCTTACGTACCAGAAACAGATGGAATATACTCTCCGGAATGTGAAAACTTAGAAAAGGAAGAGTTTATGCTGAAATTAATGCGGTCTCTTTCTGAAGAAGTGGAAAACAAGGAAGTTGAAGAACAATCTGTCACATTGATAGAGCAAATTCAACCATTGGGACCGACAATAGATTATGCTGATCATCTGGCAACTTGTATCATCTCTATGGCAACCGAACAGGCCTCTTCACGTTTGCAAGATAAAGCTACTCTGAAGAATGGATACTTTCAAGTGAGCACTGAAGACAAAAGATGGGGGTATTCCACGCTTATTAACCTTCCAGAAAAACACACACACTCTTTGTGGATTTATGCTGGTGAAATGGCTGGAAGAGTCATCCGAGAAGCCAAGAAAAGGGTCAGCTCAAGGCAGTGTAAACTTCTGAGGCTCAGTCAGGTTAATTACGAGGGCGATTGCTTTCATCTGAAAAGAAGTTATCATGAATGTTGGTCGAAGGACAAAAGACAAAAGTCACGTGGTAGAGAACTGGACGGTTCTGTTCTTCCTGTACCCCTGAATTCGGAAGCTTTGGGTCTTAACTCCAAGTATCCGAGCTGCGAAAGTGTGACGGATGAATATACTGATCACATCATTCGGATTTTGAAACAGGAAGGGGGACACGGTGATCTCATCATGGACAATTTTGCAAGCAGGCTCGCTTACAAATCGGTGAGGTCTGGAATACAGCAAGCTGCCAGGAAATTCCGAGTGAAGTACAGTAGAAAAGTAGCTCCCGAAAAGAACTCCAGGCTAAATGGTAAGCTTGAACTGTTTGAGGCAGCAAACCAGGATGTAGATCTAAAGAATCAGAAGAACGGTATGATGCTTCATCTTGCAAAGCAGCCTTGTAGGAGCAAGTGTCCCTTACATGGAGCTGAAAGTTCAAAGTTGCTGGATTTTTCGGAATCTCTCGCTTGTCGCATCACGTCGGATGCCAGAAGGACATTCACGTCCATGACGAGTTTACCCAAATCTTTGACGGATTCTTGTTTGTACCAACCATCCCGAGATGATAAAGTCACAGATTTCAAAGCAACGTGGACTGAAAGACTGCCGTCTTCACATTGCAAGCAGAAATTGTATCACAGCACTGAGAGTTTGAGGGACTCTACCTACCAAGAGAATGTTTTGCAAGCCCTAGATCAATACGCAAAGAAGATAGTAGACGACACTTTAGAAGTGAGTTTAGAATCAGCTACTGGGCAAGCTCCCGAAGGCTGGACAAATGGAGAGAGATTAACCTGGGACAAAAAAATGACTCCATTTTCTATAGCTGCCTGCAAACACTGCACTTTGAAAGAACGTCACTCCTGCACGGGAGGTTTGTCTCTGCAGCTAGCTGGACATGAATTTCCTTCTAATGTTCGATACGCTTCAGACGGGAGTGTAAACATCACCTTGCCTAAATCTCACGTGCTTCATTTGGACATTCCCCAAATTCACGTCAATATGGACGAGAAGGTCATATTTGCTGAAAACCTGGCCCCTGTCAATTTGGACCGAGCACGGAGGCAGCTGAGCAACACCAGTTTGACAGGAGATAGCGGAATCAGTCAGGATGGAATCAGCTTTGCCGAAAGTCTAACCACGGAAATTATGACTTCTTGCATGACAAATATTGCTCCAGCCATCAATATAAGGTAATGTTGATTTTTTTTTTTTGCATGGAATATATGCTGTAGGAGGCAGAGTTCGGGAGAGGGCGGAGTTGAATGAGTCCTCAGCCTAGAATTGTTACGTTCTATAAACAGTCTAACTCAACTCCTCTTGAATTCTGTTGGCCCTTATCTAGCACCAATTTAATATTGAACTTGGGATGGGGAGTTAAACGAGTCACCAGCCTAGAGTCGTTATGTTCCCACAAACCATGTAAGTCCAACTCCTCTTGAATTCTGTTGACCCTTATCTAGCACCAATTTAGCATTGAACTTGAGTTGACTAGATTAGGAGAAGAGAAGGAGAGCGGGGGGGGGGAATTAAACGAGTCACCAACCTAGAGGCATTATGTTCCCACAAATGGCCTAAGTCCAACCCTTCTCGAATTCCGTTGATCCTTAATTGGTGCCAGTTTAGTATTGAATTTCAGTTGACTAGATCAGGGGTCTTCAAACCTGGCCCTTTTATGACTAGTAGACTCCCAGAATTCCTCAGCCAGGCATGCTGGCTGAGGAATTCTGGGAGTTGAAGTCCACAAGTCATAAAAGGGCCAAGTTGGAAGACCCCTGGACTAGATTAATGTCAGGAATCAGGACCATATGTTAGGTTGCAGTTCAGAAGATTTATTGTTTAAGTCTATACACACAAATCTATAAGGGGTGGAACTGATGTCACAAAGCTTGTTTCATCTTTCTGAAACAGCTGTTGAAATTTGAGGACACCTCTGGAGTAGGTTCCATGGGTGGTCAACAATGAAGGAAAGTCAGGTATCTGGAATGCAAGGACAAATAGTGATGCTACCCCTTTTAACGTGCGTTAGCGCCATGGAAACAGAGGGAGTGAATTCTGCTGAATCCATGGTCAGCCAACATACTGGAGATGACAGCACCGGCAGCTGGTCCAACCTGAGTTTTGATGAGGAACATCCAGATGAGAGCAGCAGCTTTCTCCACCTCAGCGATAGGTAACTAAAATTTGTTTCTAACGGCGACTGATGATGTCCCATCGATCGATGTCAACTCTTAGGGACCACCCAGGCGGAATGTCTCCAGAATGAATGTTTAATGTACAGTTTGGGATGACATGGCTGGACTACCGGTCTCAGACTGTGAAAGTCCGTGGTTGACTTTAATAGAATTTAGCTTGAGAAATTGGTGCTTTCTAAATGACAAATGATTGAACTGTGAGATAAGGCATTTGTTGCCAAAAATACGTGGTGGCGCGGTGGTTAGCAGTCTACGACTCTGCCCACAGTCTGGAGTTTGATCCTGATGGAGCTCAAGGTTGATTCAGCCTTCCAAGAGGGGTAAAATGAGGACCCAGATTGTTGGGGGCGATAGGCTGACTCTGTAAGTAGAGAAAGCTGTGAAGCACTGTGAAATGGTATATAAGTCTAAGGGCTAATGCTATTGCTATAAAAAATATTGCCACTGCCAGGAGTTCGATCCTGACTTGTTCAAGGTTGACTCAGCCTTCCAGCCTTCCAAGGTCAGTAAAATGAGGACCCAGATTGTTGGGGGCCAAAAGCTGACTCTGTAAACCACTTAAAGAGGGCTGTAAAGCACTGGGAAGCGGTATATAAGTGCTAATGCTATTGCTATAAAAAACATTCCCACTGCCAGGAGTTCGATCGTGACCAGCTCCAGGTTGCCTCAGCCTTCCCAAGTCAGTAAAATGAGGACCCAGATTGTTGGGGGCTACAGGCTGACTCTGTAAACTGCTTAGAGAGGGCTGTAAAGCACTGGGAAGTGGTATATAAATCTAAATGCTATTGCTATTGCTAACTCTGCCCACTGCCAGGCAGTTCGATCCTGACCCGCTCAAGGTTGACTCAGCCATCCATCCTTCCGAGGTGGGTAAAATGAGGACCCAGATTGTTAGGGGGCAAGAGGCTGACTCTGTAAACCGCTTAGAGAGGGTTGAAAAGCACTGTGAAGCGGTCTATAAGTCTCAGCGCTATTGCTATTTTATTTCCCCTAAATTGTTTCTAGACCCAAAGAGAGATCTAGAAGCAATCTTAGAAAAATAAAGAGCATAAGTAGGTCTGGTGACTCAGTTGCTAGACTTTTTTTTTTTTTCATGACAAGCATCCATGCCAGATTTTGCCACCATCTTATTTCCTGACTTTCACGCATGATCTACCATCTCCACCTTCTCTGATGCCTTGCCCTCTAAGTTGAAGGTCCTCCACTGGATCTTTGAGACAGACCCCCACTCACCACCACCGGTATGGGAGTGGGAGTGGGAGTGGGCTGGCTTTTTCTTCTCCTGATGGTCCTCCTTGCTTGTTGTTCTTGGACGCTCCTCAAAAGCGGTGGAGCCCCTCCGTAATCCATCTGAAGCAACCCAGTGGTCTACGGGAAGTTCTGGTGGAACTAACTATCTATTTTGTTGTAGTTCAGCCCTCTTCTCTTCTCTCCTGGCAGTAATGGTAACAGCAGTAGCTGGAGCAGTCTTGGTTTAGAAGGAGATTTGTCCTTGCCAACATCAGACAGGTTGGTCAAACCAAGACCCAACAACAGGACGGTCCCCTTCCGTTTTAATGCATGATCGTGATTACTTTTCAAGACTCAACAATCTGGTGCATTTCAGTGGCCACCCACCATCGGCCTGCTTTTCACTTACAGCCGTGCTGTTCCTTAACCAACTCCATACAGACCGGGGGGGGGGTCCATTTTGATTGTGTTACGGTGTGAATGCCTTTGCAGAAAGAATGACAACCATCCAATCTATTTTGTGCATCTCCCGCTTGCTTTTCCCCCCTTCTCCTGTCTGTTATTTCTTCCTAAGGATAAGGGCTTGCTTCCTACAATATTTCTGGTTTTTGGGTTTTTTTTTAACCGAACCCCCAACTCAAATCGTTCTCCTCACTCTCTGCTACCCCGTAGAAATCTTTTGTAGACCTTTGAAGCAATGCTTTCTTCTTGAAATCATTTGATAGAAAGAAAGAAAGAAAGAAAGAAAGAAAGAGAGAAAGAGAGAGAGAAAGAGAGAGAGAGAGAAAGAAAGAAAGAAAGAAAGAAAGAAAGAAAGAAAGAAAGAAAGAAAGAAAGAAAGAAAGAAAGGTTAATTATTTTACCTGGGCAATTTGCAAGGAAATGGTGTGAGAAGCAAGGCTTTCTTTTCCACCGTGATTCCTTACAACCTTTTGTCAGTTCATACTATTCTTTCTTGAATGTTCATCCCTGCCTGCCCATCACCGAAGGCGTTAATAGGATCAGCTGTTCTCATGGTGCTCCTTTCTTTTTTAGTGATGGAACAGAAGAGAAGGAGGAAGAGCTTAAAGATTCCACAGAAGGTAAGGTTGAAGAGGAGTAAATGTGGATTATATTGGCCCAGATACTGCATCCAGTTTGGTCACCGTGCTGCAAAACAGATGCTGAGACTCTGGAAAGAGTGCAGAGAAGAGCAACAGAGATGATCAGAGGGCTGGAGGCTAAGACATATGACGGACGATTGCTGGAACTGGGCATGTCTAGTCTAGAGAAAAGAAGGTCCAGGGGTGACATGATAGCAGTCTTCTAATCCTTGAGGGGCTGCCACAAAGAAGAGGGGGTCAATCTATGTTAATACCACTTTACAAGGCCTTGGTAAGGCCACACTTGGAATCCTGCATCCAGTTATGGTCACAACGATGTAAAAAAGATGTTGAGACTCTAGAAAGAGTACAGAGAAGAGCAACAAAGATGATCAGGGGAAATGAGGCTAAAACATATAAGGAACGGTTGCTGGAATTGGGAATGTCTAGTTTAACGAAGAGAAGGACGAGGGGGCACATGATAGCAGTGTTCCAATATCTCAGGGGTTGCCCCAAAGAAGAGGGAGTCAAACTATTCTCCAAAGCGCCTGAAGGCAGGAAGAGAAGCAACGGATGGAAACTAATCAAGGAGAGAAGCAATCTAGAACTAAGGAGAAACTTCCTGACAGTGAGAACAATTAACCAGTGGAACAACCTGCCTCCAGAAGCGGTGAATGCTCCAACACTGGAAGTTTTTAAGAAGTGACTGGACAGTCATTTGTCCGAAATGGTATAAGTTTCCTGCCTGAGCAGGGGATTGGACTAGAAGACCTCCAAGGTCCCTTCCAAGTTGTTGTTGTTGATGACGATGATGATGTCTAGTTCAGGGGTCTCCAAACGTGGCCACTTTAAGACTTGTGGACTTCAACTCCCAGAATTCCTCAGTCAGCCCTGCTTGCTGAGGGAATTCTGGGAGCTGAAGTCCGCAAGTCTTAACAGTGGCCACGTTTGAAGAGTCCTGATTTAGTTTAAGGAAAAGAAGGACTGGTGTGACCTGATAGCACGGTTCCAATATCTGAGGGGCTGCCACAAAGAAGGATTGGGGGTCGATCTATTCTCCAAAGCACCAGAAGGCAGGACAAGAAGTACCAGATGGAGGATCCTTAAAGAGAGAAGCAACCTAGAACCATGGAGTAATTCCCTGACAGTGAGAACAATTAATCAGGCGAACAGCTTGCCTCCAGAAGTTGTGGGTGCTCCATCCACAAGGAGAAACTGGACAGCCATTTGTCAAGAATGAAATCAGGTCTGTTTGAGCAGAGGGTTGGGCTACAAGACCTCCAAGGGCCCTTCCAACTCTTGTTATTCTGTGTTCTGACACACGTTAAGTCTACTCAGGAGCGCTTCTACACAGATGGATTTTTTCGACTGTACGTCTGTTTCGTGTTTTCCTCACTGAGCAGGAATTTGTGTGATTGAGAAAATGGCAGAAGGGTAAACTGCAAGAAGGTGACAAAGGGGAATCCACACTGAAAGAGCCACTTAAATTTTAAGGAGGGGGTTAGTCCAGCTGCGATGGACCACGAACGGGGGTTTTGCTCAGAGGCAAAGTTACTCTGATTCACATTTCCCAAATGAATATAAAAGGAGCAGCTCCACCTTATGGACATTATTAAGCATTCTTTTTTAACAGAGCAATTGCTCCCTGCTAAAATTAAAAACCAACAAAGCCAGAAGTTAAACTTTTCCTCCAACTGATGGAACATAAGACAGCCCCCTTAATTTTCTGCGCAATAAGGAGTTTAACAGTAGATAATGGGTTACTTTGAAAACCCAACGGCTTTCAGAATAACGAAGTTGGAAAGGACCTTGGAGGTCTTCTAGTTCAACCCCCTGCTGAAGCCATTTCAGACTAATGGCTGTCCAATTTCTTCTCGAAAACCTCCGATGATGGAGCATCCACAACTTCTGGAGGCAAGTTGATCCACTGTTGGGAAATTTCTCCTTAGTTCTAAGTTGCTTCTCTCCTTGGTTAGTTTCCATCCGTTGCTTCTTGTCCTGCCTTCAGGCACTTTGGAGAATAGCTTGACTCCCTCATCTTTGGGGCAGCCCCTGAGATACTGGAATATTGGCTATCATGTCCCCCCTCGTCCTTCTCTTCATTAAACTAGACATCCCCAATCCCAGCAACCGTTCCTTATATGTTTTAGCCTCCAGACCTCTAATCATCTTTTTGCTCTTCTCTGCACTCCTTCTAGAGCCTCAACACCTTTCTTACATTGTGGCGACCAAAGGAATCTTTACCCCCCCCCCATTCATTTTTCCAGCAAAAACATAATCCGAAAGTTTAATCTGCGTGTTTTTGATTAAAAAAAAAACACAACCACCTGCCTTGTCTCTTATGAACTGTCACAGAAAAATGGTTTAAGCATTAGACGTGGTTGACATGCGCGGAAGGCAAAAATAGGATTGCCTCTCTTCATCTTGGCTTACTCAGTTCTTTATCACGATCTACAGTTTCCTTAGCTGTTATAGTTAACGGTGTCTCTCCAGTGGTGGGATTCAAGTAGGTGAACAACCGGTTCTCTGGGTGGATGCCGCTTCCGGAAGTCCATTCTGGGCCTGCTGGGCAACAAAAAATTAGCTACCGGTTCTGCCTAAGTGGTGCGAACTGGCTGAATCCTACCACTGGTACCACTTCAGTGGGAAGATAACAGCATGGATGCCACTTCCGGAAGTCCATTCTGGGCCTGCACCGGTTCTGCCAAAGTGGTGCAAACCGGCTGAATCCCACCACTGTGTCTACTGTTGGTTGTTAGGATTTTGAGAGAGAAAGGAGGGAGGGAGGGAGAGAGAGAGAGAGAGAGAGAGATATGGATCGTTCAAAAACGTGAACTATACGTAAATAAAATAGCTATATCACTTTATATTTAATTTCAAGTAACTATAAAGCAATATAGCAGTGATGGCGAACCTTTTGGAGACCGAGTGCCCAAACCGCAACCCAAAACCCACTTATTTATTACAAAGTGCCAGGGCCGCATCAGCAGTGTGGTGCCCTTGGGGGGGGCAGAAAGACATCTCTGAGTGCGCCTCTGGCATGCAAAACCCGGGGGCACAAAAATGGGCCACCGTGCTGCAAGGCGCAAAAACGGCCACTGTCGCACCGCGGGGTGCAGATACAAGGTACTGCACCACATAAGAACGGGGTAGGGCTAGTGAGTATCATGCAGGCACTAGCCCCATCCCATTTGCAGTGCGTGCGTGCTCGCGGCCCCGTGCACGCATGGACGCATGTAAAATGCTTCCCCCCCCCCCTTTTCTTCCAGTCCACCAATCGACAATGTTTGATGACCTCTGCTCTACCACCTCTACTCGACCTTGCTAGTCGGCCGCTTTGCCTTCTTTGTGCTGGGCGGGGCTCCTGCTCCGGGCAGCGGGGGCAGCCTGATGGACCTGCTGCTGGCGGCGGTGGCACGTGTGCCGACAGAGAGGGCTCTGAGTGCCGCCTCTGGCACGCGTGCCATAGGTTCGCCACCACTGCGATATAGCATAGATATATAATAAAATAACTATCGCTTTATAGTTATTTGAAACTGAATTATAATTGCCGGTCCGTTTCCCTTTCATCCAGTTTGGAAAGATCTCTTTTTTTCAACCTTCTCGGATTGTTTCCCCCCCTTGTTTTTACCACTTTGTATAATTTGATGTCATTAGCAAACATGTCTGACCCGATTGCTCGGCGGTTCTTCCCTATCAAGCCTTAGCAGCAATTGGCTCTGTTTCCAAAGTAACTTCTCTCATTTGTGGACTAAAATGTGTGGCTGACCAACCAACTTTTTCCGTTTCCTTGGCTTGTCCTAGAGGTGAGGAAGAACCCCCAAGCCTTGGTCGTTGTGAATGTGGATGTGGGACCATGCACGGTGGATCCCCAGCTGAGAATGACGCTGCAATGGCTTAGTGCTTCCGAAGCAGGTGTGGCCGAGCTGCGTTTCCGTGATGACACGCCGGGAGAGTTTGTTCTTGTGAGTAGCAAAGATGTAAACTCGCAATAATTTCCCTCAGACTTGGTCTTCAGACGTCGAACACTTGAGGAACCCTTCTCTTTATAAAAAACCAGTGTGGAACTCATTAATGCAGGGATCTTCAAACTCGACCCTTTTAGGACTTGTGGACTTCAACTCCCAGAATTCCTCAGCCAGCATGCCAAGGGCCAAGTTTGAAGATCCCTGTCTTAAATCTAACAAACAAAATGGAGGCTGGCTGAGGAATTCTGGGAGTTGAAGTCCACAAGTCATCAAAGGGCCAAGTTGGAAGACCCCTATCTTAAATCTAACAAACAAAATGGAGGCTGGCTGAGGGATTCTGGGAGTTGAAGTCCACAAGTCATGAAAGGGCCAAGTTGGAAGATACCTGTCTTAAATCTAACAAAATGGAGGCTGGCTGAGGAATTCTGGGAGTTGAAGCCCACAAGTCATAAAAGGGCCAAGTTGGAAGACCTCTCTCTCTCTCTCTCTCTCTCTCTCTCTCTTTCTCTCTCTCTCTCTTTTTCTTGGTACCTTTTCCAGTACCTTTCCCTCTGGATGGAAAATGAACATAAACTACAGCTGACTCATGTTGGCATCTGCGCTGAATCTGAATCTCAGAATGATCCCAACTCTACAATCTGTAACGATCCGACCACTTTCGTCTTTATCATCCTGATGCTTCCCTTACATTTCATATTTCAGCCCGCCCTATCGCAAATTTTCAGAATCCCTTTTCTCACGTTTGTTGGTGGTAAAAATTGTACAGTCATAATGCGTTTCCTGAGGCATTTTTTTTTTTATTAAAAAGTTGTCCGCTAATTTCCTTTGGGTGACCTGTGGTGGCATGGCTAATTTGCCTCCTGCGCTAAAAACGGCTCGCTTGATTTGAATGTTTCCTTCAAGTTCACTGCATCCTCATTCCTGTTGAATACCTTCTAGTCAACAATTTTTGCTGCCTGTTTATTTCCGCTACGCTATTTTTGTTTTCTATCACAACAGCTACACTTAATTCTTACTTTTTTTTCCTGTTGCCTTTTCAGCGAGAGCGCTTTCTGAAGCTCAGCATAACTTCCCATTTTAAGTATTCAATATTTAAGAAAATCGTCAGTATCAAGAACACAGAATGGTTATTATAAATGATAAGATACTTTTGATTATTTCTACTTTCATTTGTGTAAAGAGATATGTAGTATAACAGAAATGGAAGAGGATAGATTGTGTGTCTTTGTGGTGATCAAACATGCCTGATTGTGTAATTCTAGGGGGAAAAAACAATTGAAGGTTTGATAATTAAGACCCTCATCTGATATTTTTTACCAATTTCTGCTTGGAAACATCAGGCAGTATTTAAAATTATTCAGTTATGTGAATCTCTACAAAGAGTGCAGAGAAGAGCAACAAAGATGATTAGAGGACTGGAGGTTAAAACATAATGAACAATTGAGGGAACTAGGTATGTCTATCTAACAAAGAGAAGGACTAGGGGTGACTTGATAGCAGTCTTCCAATATTTGAGGAGCTGCCACAAAGAAGAGGGAGTCAACATATTCTCCAAAGCGCCTGAAGGCAGGACAAGAAGCAACGGATGGAAACTAATCAAGGAGAGAAGCAACCTAGAACTAAGGAGAAATTTCCTGACAGTTAGAACAATTAACCAGTGGAACAACCTACCTCCAGAAGCTGTGAATACTCCAACACTGGAAGTTTTTAAGAAGAGACTGGACAACCAGTCTAGAAGAAGACTAGAAGACTTCCAAAGTCCCTTCTAACTCTGTTATTCTGTTATTCTATTCTGTTATTCTGGATCACCTGAAGGTAGAACAAGAAGCAAAGGATGGAAACTAATCAAGGAGAGAACCAACCTAGAACTTACTAGCGAAACGTCTTCAAAGAAAATCAAGAAAGTCTAGTTGCCTCGTGAGAAAGCACCTTTGTGACTAGAACTAAGTAGAAATTTCCAACTCTGTTATTCTACTAAGGCTTGATGATGACCAGATGAAGACCCTAATCTGATATTTTTAATCCATCTCTGTTTGAAGATCTCAAGCTGTGTTTAAATATGACTTTGAATCCACTTTCATTTTCTTCCTTGGGATAGTAAAATGCCTTGCAATACGATCCTCTCCTTGAGTTCATCCATAAGCAGATAATGACCTCATTGTGATCTGAGTTCTGTGATCTTTTTAGAGAGAGAGAGAGAGAGAGAGAGAGAGAGAGAGAGAGAGAGAGAGAGAGAGAGAGAGAGAGAGAGAGAGAGAAGAAAAAAACCCCTTCCCTTCCAGGTACTTGCTTATTTGTACGGATCACATTTCACCCGCAATTATGTACGGCCACATCTCCATTTGTATGAACTCACAGGGTGTAATTAAGCGATGTTGTTGTCTGCCAGGATGGCCTGCTCCAAATTCAACTCATCAGAAGCCATTTGGGTTAATCTTTTTAGACAGTCGCTATTTAGCAACTTCAAGGAGTCCTAAGGCAGCCATTATGGCATTTAGCTTTTTAGAAAGTCACATTGAAGTAAAATAGGTTGGCTAATGAGGTGAGTCAGAGAGCCTGTGGAAACGTTTGTGAAATGGTAAAGCAACTCTGGGTGAACCTTGGGAGAGGCACTCTCTCGGCCCTCAGAACATTTTAAGAACCCATTTCTTAAAAATATTGTCAAGGAAATGAGAAGGGTAATCCCCAGGATTCAAAATTGACTTGGAGGCATGAATTTGAATGGAATTCTGGACACTGCTAAGGTTTTATAAAGTGGCACTATAATGTACAATTTTATATATCCATCCACCCACTCACTCATCTGTATTCTATCTCTCGCTCATCCATCCATCCATCCACATTATCTATTGATTAATCTATCTATCTGTCTGTGTCTGTCTGTCTGTCTATCTATCTATCTATCTATCTATCTATCTATCTATCTATCTATCTATCTACCTATCTATCTAAACTTTACTCAGATCACGCCTGGAGTACTACAGAGAAGAGCAACTAAGACGATTAAGGGCCTGCAGACAAAAACATATGAAGAACGGTTGCAGGAACTGGGGATGTCTAGTTTAGTGAAAAGAAGGACTAGGGGTGACATGATAGCAGTGTTCCAGTATTTGAGGGGCTGCCACAGTTGGGGCCAACTTATTTTCCAAAGCACCTGAAAGCAGGACAAGAAATAATGGATAGAAACTAATCAAGGAGAGAAGCAACCTGGAATTAAGGAGAAACTTCCTGACAGTGAGGACAATCAATCAGTGGAACAGCTGGTCTTCAGAAGTTGTGGGTGCTCCATCACTGGAGGTTTTTAAGAAAAGACTGGACAGCCACTTGTCTGAAATGGTGCAGTGTCTCCCACTTCAGAGGGGGTTGGCCTAGAAGACCTCCAAGGTCCCATCCAGCTCTGTTCTGATTGATTGACTATGTGGTCATCAACCAAGGAGAAATTTTGTAGCTCAGCGGTGAAATGAAGGGTCCTTGGTGCTCTCTGAGCTTGGTGGTTTTCTTGCAGAAGTTTTCATTATCCAAACTAGATAACATCATCAGTGGTAGCGTTGTCTGTCATTGATCATCACTCTCTAATGCTGATGTTGTTAGCTAGTCTGGGTAATGAAACGTCTGCAAGAAAACAGCCAAGCTCAGAGCACCAGGGATCCCTCCTCATGTAGTCATCTTGGAATTGAGCCTGATATTTCTGTTCTGGATCCATACTCCTCCTGTCTGATCAAGATCTCCTGGGTAATGCCGGCAGATGGATCCAAGCATTGGTTGAGGAAGGAAGTGGTTCCGCCATTTTGGAGTTACGCTCCCTTCTCAAAAGGCTAATCTTGGAACTGACTGTCTAGTCCAGGGGTAGAGAACCTTGGCTCTTTTATAACTTGTGCACTTCAATACCCAGAATTCCTGAGCCAGCCATGCTGACTCAGGAATTCTGGGAATTGAAGTCCACAAGTCATAAAAGAGCCCAGGTTGCCTATCCCTGGTCCACGATAACTGATTAGCAAGACTAATGTAGTACATTTTCTTGCTCCAGATATTCAGATTTTAAAAAAAACAAAAACCAAACGTGCTTATTTTTCTACTTACCTTTTTGCCATTTTGCTTAGAAGTGCATTCAGTCATCCTGCTTTGGTTTGGAAGTAAATTCTCCCCCTGTTTGAGAAATAAATTGAAGACACCCATACATGGAGTTAGCATTTAGTGCTTAGAAGTAAAGTTGATGCAGTAAGATTGTCAAAAACAAAAAAACAAAAAACCACCCTACCATTGTCACCCAGTTGACATCATAAGGGGAAATATTTTGGTTAGATACAGTGTTTCTCAACCTTGACAATTTTAAGGCATGTGGACTTCAACTCCCAGAATTCCACAGCCAGCATTGCTAGCTGTGGAATTCTGGGAGTCGAAGTCCACGTGCCTTAAAATTGTTGAGGTTGAGAAACAATGGGTTAGAACAATTCAGAAAGGATACAGGATTAATCTCAGGGGCTGCCCCAAAGAAGAGGGAGTCAAGCTATTCTCCAAAGCACCAGAAGGCAGGAGAAGAAGCAATGGAAGGAAACTCATCAAGGAGAGAAGCAACCTGGAATTAAGGAGAAACTTCCTGACAGTGAGGACAATCAATCAGTGCAACAGCTGGCCTTCAGAAGTTGTGGGTGCTCCATCACTGGAGGTTTTTAAGAAGAGACTGGACAGCCATCTGTCCGAAATGGTATAGGGTTTCCTGCCTGAGCAGGGGGTTGGACTAGATGACCTCCAAGGTCCCTTCCAACTTTATTATTATTATTATTAATACAGTGTGATGTGTTTGGTCCAAAGAAACTTTTAGGGTTTTTTTTTTAATTCAAACTTCCAGTTCTCATCCCAGATAGCAAACTACCTTTCCCTCTGCATCCTACACATGTGTTTTTATTCAAGCTGTGAGACAAGGAAAAATTTCCGCAGGGCCTCTGAGCAGCAAAATGTGTTTGAACTATACAAGCTTGGCTTGTAGTTGGAAATTCTGATTTCTGCCTTGTGTATCTTTACATTTCCTAAATTGCCACTCTGGAGTCAGTGGTTTCCACTGACAATAGAGTACATTTACCAAAACAACCACACTTTATGTCATGGAAGGATGGAAAAAAAGAGATATGTTCATATTCACCCGAGCAATTGTCAAATATCAGCTTATTCAGGATTGTTAGCAATGAATTGATTTGTGCGCATTTTTTTTTTTTAAGCTGTTGCCTTACTAATAACACAATCCTGGTCATTGGAACTCTTGGGAATGTCTTTCTGAAAAACAGGTTTAAGGACATGATTGGGAAGAAGAAAACCAGGTTTTGAGGCTATCCATTATAGAAGTATCTATTTCCTAGCTCAGGGGTAGGCAGCTTTGACTCTTTTATGCCTCCTGGACTTTCAACTCCCAGAATTCCTCAGCCAGCATGGGGGAACTATGGCCCCCTCATGACTGGTGGACTTCAACTCCCAGAATTCCTGAGCCTGCATGGGGGAATTATGGCCCCTTCATGACTGGTGGACTTCAACTCCCAGAATTCCTGAGCCCGCATGGGGGAACTGTGGCCCCTTCATGACTCGTGGACTTCAACTCCCAGAATTCCTGAGCCGGCATGGGGGAACTGTGGCCTCTTCATGACTCGTGGACTTCAACTCCCAGAATTCCTGAGCCAGCATGGGGGAACTATGGCCCCTTCATGACTCGTGGACTTCAACTCCCAGAATTCCTCAGCCAGCATGGCTCAGCATGGAAACCTCTCCCTTTCCCCTCAGCGTGGCTGGCCCAGGAATTCTGGGAGTTGAAGTCCACAAGTCATAAAAGAGCCAAGGTGGCCTACCCCTGCCGCAGCTTAAGAATAACAACTGTGTCTGTGGAGATTCTTGATCATCCAGGTTGTGGTTGTCCCACAAGTGCTTCTCAAAAGGCAACTGGACTGACAACAACAATCAGACTTTATGGGTTCCATATGACTTTGGGGTCTCCAGGCCCGTTGGCAGAACCATGTCATCAGGGCCTTGTGAAAGAGTGTCAAAGTGGGGGCCAGTCTAGTCTCCACAAGGGTGATGTTCCACAGCAAGGGAGCCACCACAGAAAAGGCCCTTCTTCTTTGTCCCATCATAACATTCTCTGCCTCCCCGGTCAGGTGAGTCAGGTAGATCTGACTGGGAAAAATACGCTCCTTCAAAGGGTGATGAAGCTCTCCAGCCTCCTTTTCTGCTGGTCAGGTAGATCTGACTAGGAAAAGATGTCTTTCAAAGGGGTGATGAAGCTCTCTGACCTTCTCTTTTGTGGGTCAGGGAGATATGACTGGGAAAAGATGATGTCCTTCAAAGGGTGATGAAGCTCTTTGACCACCTATTTTGTGGGTCAGGCAGATGACTAGGAAAATATATCCTTCAAAGGGTGATGAAGCTCTCTGATCACCTATATTGTGGGTCAAGTAGATATGACTAGGAAAAGGTGTCCTTCAAAGGGTGATGAAGCTGTCCGACCACCTTTTTTGTGGGTCAGGTAGATACGACTAGGAAAAGATGTCCTTCAAAGGGGTGATGTAGCTCTCCGACCACCTTTTTTGTGGGTCAAGTAGATACGACTAGGAAAAGATGTCCTTCAAAGGGTGATGTCCTTCAAGGGAGTGATGTCCTTCAAAGGGTGATGAAGCTCTCTGACCATCTTTTTTGTGGGTCAGGTAGATACGACTAGGAAAAGATGTCCTTCAAAGGGTGATGTCCTTCAAGGGAGTGATGTCCTTCAAAGGGTGATGAAGCTCTCTGACCATCTTTTTTGTGGGTCAGGTAGATATGACTGGGAAAAGATGTCCTTCAAAGGGTGATGAAGCTCTCCGACCTGCTCTTTTGTGGGTCAGGGAGATATGACTAGGAAAAGATGTCCTTCAAAGGGTGATGAAGCTCTTCAACCCCCTCTTTTGTCCCTATAGGATGAGACTTGCCCTGTACTTGGGCACTGATATTTTCAGCAATCAGCTATTGGATTTCTAAATTGCCCCCGTTCTTTTCCTTCTAGCTTTCCAAGACATTGCAGGAGAAAGGCTGGCGAGTGGGAGACCTCTTCGAGGCAGTTCTGAAATATTGCGAAGCCATGGAGAAGTCTGCTGATGGGGACAGAGCTCTGGAAAGCAAAACACTCTTTGTGTGGCTTCGGGAGTGTGTCTGAATGGCCGGGAAAGTTTCTGCTTGCTTCAATGCTGGAATCCATCTTGGAAAAATGAAAAAAAAAAAAAAAGAGAGAGAGAATGTGTGCTAACTAGCCAACGTAACATAATTTGCATTGCGAGGAGTATTAAGCTGGAAGTAAATATTAACCGTACTGTACTGTCAAGTGGCTTTGTGAAACTTGGTGTGCTTTTTATCCTTGTGTGTAGGATCAGAATGAGTGACTCCGCCTGGCCTGCCCTCATCCGTCGGCAGCTCTGCCCTGTTCGTTGTGGCCATGAGGAGATTTTTGCTTTCTATATTCGAAGGAGAATTCCTGCCCAACTAGGGCAAGGAATGACATACCATCTCAGTCTAGTTTCATGTATTTGTCTCTGTCATTTGTCTTTGCCCTTTTTCCTTGCTTTTTTTCCCCTTGAAACAAACTGCAGGTCAAAAATTAGTGTTCAGTGGGTCCAGCTACTGCCTTTTTCTGTGAGGGCCTCGTGGCCTACAGATTTGATCACTCATTTCTTTGCTGCTTCTACCGACTTCAACCCAGTTCTGCTGATGAGGCTGAAAAGAGGACCAAATTACCTCAGAACTGAGGTAAAAGTAGAGGTCAGGGTCAAAATGTAGATTGTATTACTTGCACCATGAGACCGTAATTCTTAATATTGGGAATATATTATGGTCTTCAACCACTCTTCATTTGGGAAGGAAGCATACTTGGTTTTTATTGGTGCAGGTAATAAAATCTACACTTTGATTTAAAATATTATACGGATGAAGAACATACGTCTACATTCCTCGTTCTCCGATACAGCCGTCTTTCTCAAATTGAGAACATTGTATCGGAGAATGTGGATTGTAGATTTATGCTCTTCATCACTATAATATTTTAATACTTCCTTTAGATACCAAAATATTATAGTCCCTCCCGATTACATTTTTCTTCCATTCTGTTAAGACACTATCTTCATAAAACAAATAGCTGCAGAAAAGAGGACCAGAGTAGACCAGTAGCTAAAAAACTTGAGTCTGTCAATCATTGTGTTTTTGGTTTATAAGGTGATGTCAGGAAACATATTTAATGTTGTGTCGTCAAAACATTGTCCCAAAACCAATGTTGTAGCTTTATAGATCTTTTTTCTTTTCTTTATGCAACTGCCTTCAGTTAAATTGGGAACACAGCAGATAAGATAATGTTGGCAGAAGATAATGTTTCTCAACCTTGGCCAGTTGAAGATGCGTGGACTTCAACTTCCAGAATTGAGGTTGAAGTCCACCCATCTTCAAGTGGCTAAGGTTGAGAAACGCTGACCTAAGACATATCAGCATTGCATAATCATTTCGGAGAAACGAACACACATCTAGGAGATTCCTCCATTTTGTGATGTGGATCAAGTTGGGACTAGATTGTACTGGAGGGAGTAGAGAAGAGGAAGCTATGCCTTCTTGAGACCATATCACCGCATCATTCACGGAGGGGAGACCACCATTTCAAGCTGGGGAACACTGCTGTGGGGTTACTGGTGCTCTCTAGAAAACAGGAAATGTCTCCATTTGCTTCTAGTAAGGGTAAAAAAGAGGATGGAATGGAAGACCTTGCCTTGACCAACTTGCCATGGTCAACTCATCACAGCCAACTCGTCATGATCAATTCGTCTTTCTAACTCATCATGGCCAGCTCATCACAGCCTATTCACCTTGGCCAACTTGCTGTGGTCAACTCACCACAGTCAACTCACCATGGCCAACTCGTCAAGAGATAACCCGCTGCAGGACAAGTCAACAATTCAATTATTTAAAATAATTTTAAAAATAATTTTTAAGTTTTGTCATTCACATGTTACTTTGTCCCTCCTATCTTTAACGATTCTATGCCACTATTTCTTCGATAGGAGTGTAACTCTTGCCTGTGGAGAGTTAGCCATGGCGGGTTGGCTGCAGTGAGTTGTCGTAGACCCAGCTGAGGATGCTGAAAGGAAGCAGAAGCCTGTGAGCTACATCAATATTAAACCTCTCTAGTCAACGGAGAGGAAGTGAGTAGCAGGTAGAAGGTGTGAAGATTAAGGAGATCTTCCAGGATTCATAATTGAGAAATATGCCAAAATACGTCTCTGAATGCTGTTCTTGCGTTGTTTGCTGTACACGTTTCAGATTTCCCTTGTAGAGAGCGCTGTCTTGTTTAGGAATTGCATAATATTCTGAATTGCGCTTAGGTGTGTTTGTGTGCACGGGTGCACCTGTAAGTATAATGAATGAAAAGCCAAGTGAAGATTTTCCACCACTCTAATGGTGATGGGGGTTAGAAAATGAACGCCATTAGATAACGAGATGTGAATGTCAAGTTGCACTAAAGTTGTTGTTTTAACAGTACCTTAAAATAAATTGTATATAAGCAGACTTTTGTGTGGTTTAAAATTTGTCTCTTCAAAGAAGGCAAGCCTCAAAATAATTTGAGAAGACAGCAGATGCAAGTCAATGAAATGTAAGTATTAAATTTAAGTTATTTTCATAATTTTACTTAAAAGTATTGGCCCAGGGCAGTATTATGAATTCTTGCTCTTAAGTAGTCTTGTAACCATGCCATACAAAATTTAAAAATTCCAAATATTTAGTTTGTTTGCCTGTGTGTTTGTGCATGTGCCCTCCTCTCTCTCTCTTTGTATTATCTGTCTGTCTAGTATTATTTCTCTGTCTATCTCTATTATCTACCTATCTCTCTCTTTCTCTCATCTAATCTCTATAATCTATCCATCTGTCATCTGTCTGTCTGCCATCTGTCTCTGCCTATCAGATTATCTATCAGATTATCTATCTATCTATCTATCTATCTTGTATCATATCTCTATTTTTATTATCTACCTATCTACTTATCTCTCATCTAATCGCTATGTCATCTTTCTATCATCTATCTATCTTCTATCTATCTATCTATCTATCTATCTATCTATCTATCTATCTATCTATCTCTCTCTATCATCTTTCTCTCCCTATTAGATAGGTAATCTGTCTATCTATCTATCTATCTATCTATCTATCTATCTATCTATCTATCTATCTATCAATATCTATCATCTCTATCATCTTTTTCTCCCTATTAGATAGGTAATCTGTCTCTCTCTCTCTGTCTATATCTATCTATCAACCTACCTACCTACCTACCTACTTACCTATCTAATCTCTCCTAGTTATACCCCTGCATTCATGAGATTCTTTGAACAAATTACAACAACTAAGAGCAAAACTATCTTGAACAGATCCAAGGTAAGATTAAAACCACTAAATGTGGTACTAGAAGTACCAAGAAATATTCTAATTTTGGGATAGGATAAAGGCAAATGCTGTTGCAATGGTAAAAATGTAAAACTACTAACAGGCCAAAGGAAACCAATAAAAGGATCTCAAAAACTAATTTTAGACACTGTTCTCTAGAGGATGAGGGATCACTTCCCACATGTCAGAAAATTTCCCAGGTCTCTAGACGAGATCCTTTTCTGATCAATTCTTAATTTTAGAATCCAAGGCAGCTTTTCAAAACAAATTCTTTGAAAAGGCGGATTTTAGAATTAGGATGCTGACTAACGTTTTATTCATATAAGGGGAAACGATATTAATGAGCCAGTAAACTGCTTTTCTATGCATTTCTAAGGTTTTATATCCCACATGAATATTGTTGAGTTCCTTTCCAGCCTTTGCATAAAGATCTGGCTGGCCCCACTTCTAAAAGTCTTCAGCAAATGAAGATGTGTTTGCTTAATATAAGATCAATAATCAAGTGTCTATTTCTGGATTCAGATCAAGGACACTTGTCTTAATAAGCACAAAGCACAGTAACAGCTTTGCTGGATCTCAGCCCAGCAGGGTAATATTCAACCTCCCGTTTTTGAAAGTCAGCCAGATGCTTTAGAGAAGGTTAAAAACAGACACTCTTTCATCCAAGTTAACTGGCAGGCTGGTCAGAATAAAACTTCTTTTTCAGAGTCCAGAATGTTTTTCCAATACTCTTGACAGAGGGCAGGCGTAGTAGTATAAAGAAAAGTTAGAAAAAAATTAAATGTCAATGAATGAATGCAATGTGAAATTGTATTTGGAAATGATTTTTGCTGGAATTCTTGTAGACGGGAGTACAAAACAGTAACATATACTTTTTTTTTTTTGCACCACCTGAATCTTGTCAGGTTGAAAATAATGGTGATTTGCATTTTTAGGTTTTACAGACCAATGCCTGTGTAAAATCAATATAGAAGATTTTTTAAAGTCAATTGGAATAATAAGATGGGCAGCATATAAATTTAATAAATGAATGGATAGATGGATGGATGATAGATAGATAGATATAGATAGATGGATGATGGATAAATTGATCAATAGATAATGTGGATGGATGGATGGATGGATGGATGAGAGATAGAATACAGATGGGTGAGTGGGTGGATGGATATATAGATTGATAGATAATGTGGATGGATGGATAAATGATAGACAGATGGTGAGATAAATAGATGATAGAATATAGATGGGTGAGTGGGTGGATGGATGGATAAATATTGATAATGTGAATGGATTGGATTGATGGATTGATGGATGATCGAGAGATGATCGGGTAGATAGATAGATAGATAGATAGATAGATAGATAGATAGATAGATAGATAATCTGATAGGCAGAGAGACATGATAGAAAGATAGAGAGATAGATAGATAGATTATAGATAGATAATCTGATAGGCAGAGAGACATGATAGATAATAGATAGATAGATGATAGATAGATAGATAGATAGATAGATAGATAGATAGATAGATAGATAGATAGATATGCTATTTAGGATGTAGTTATCTCCAAAAAGTTAATTTGAAAAATAATGTGATAGGAATTGTACTTGCCCCTTAGGCTGGTAATTAGCTTTGTAACAGGACATTCTCAAAAAACATAGGGGTGGGAAAACAGGTGAGGGTCTTCTGAAAGGATTATTAAGGACCTTCCTCATCCTTGCTCAAGGATTTATCCATGGAACTCCTGGGGGAGACATCTTAAGTGAAAAACATAAAATAACAGCAAGAAGGAAAATGTGTTGTCTGTGCGTACGTGCCCTACGTAATATACAATACGAGTAATATGTCGTGTTCTTTCTATCGTTGTTGCTTAAAACTTGTTAGCAGCCCAGTTTTAGAACAACTGATTAACCAGAGTTGGAATTTAGGCTCAATGTTCCCAAGGTTTATCCCAAGTCCTTCCAATTTCATGTAGTTCCCCCCCCCCTTGGATCTATCTTCCATGGGGAAGCACCTGTTGCAGATGAAGGGCGCACCATCACTTTCTCCAGTCCCGGGGGAACATCACAACAGGATGTGCAGCCAGATGTTTTTTGTCTCACTGAAAACTTTTGTCGGGGCCGTTTGTGTGGGCTGCTCCGCTAGATTAGTTTTAAATAAATGCAAATATCTTTATATTTATATTTACTGTGGTCGCTCTTAGTTTCACTGCCTAGAGGAGAACAAAAATAGACAAGAGGTTGAATGAAATGGTGAGAATGTGAATGGGCTGTAGCGTCTTGATGGGGGCCGAGTTCAATCTTCTTACTGCAGTTGAGTTAGTCCCTTTTATCTATGTATTACTAAAGCTCTCATTGGCGTGACCTTTAACTGGACGAAATGGTGCATCACAGGGTAATAGTTTTTGAACCAAGTTGTCTCAAATGGGCTAACTCCCAGAATGTGTCCCAAAATCTGAGATCCGTGAACCCAAGGAGATGAAATTTGGGGATGTTGCAGCCGCTTCGGTGCTATTGGCTGCTGCTGTTGCATAGAAAGCTTGGTTTTTAATGTTGTGTGACAGTTTCCCAGGCAGTCTCACAATCCCTTGTTCCACCATCCAGTCAGTGACATCCATTGAACTGCCTGTGGGAATTGGAAGGGAAGGAAAGGGAAGGAAGGAAGGAAGGAAGGAAGGAAGGAAGGAAGGAAGGAAGGAAGGGGGGTATGGAGGGAGGGAGGGAGGGAGAAGGAAGGGAAGGGAACTGGGAAGAAGGGAGGGAGGAAAGGAAGTGGGAAGAAGGAGGGAGGGAGGAAGGAAGGAATATGGAGGGAGGGAGGAAGGAAGGAAGAAGAGGGAGGGAGGGAGGGAAGGAACTGGGAAGGAAGGAAGGAAGGAAGGAAGGAAGGAAGGAAGGAAGGAAGGAAGGAAAAGAATAACAGACTCGGAAAGGACCTTGGAGGTCATCTAGTCCAATCCCCTGCTCAGACAGGAAAGTCTATACTATTTCAGACAAATGGCTGTCCAGTCTCTTCTTAAAAGCCTCCAGTGTTGGAGAAGGGAGGGAGGAAGGGAAGGGAAGGGAAGGAAGGAAGGAAGGAAGGAAGGAAGGAAGGAAGGAAGGAAGGAAGGAAAATTTCTGATACCCCCGGCCAGCTTCCTCACAATTTTTATTTTATTCAAAAGAGTAAAATACAAAATCCAAAAGGAAACAAAAATTAACCGAGACAAAGTAAAACTAGACAAAAACATTAAGATGTGAATCAAAAGGACAAAACACAAAAGCACAAAGTATCCCCCCCCCCGTTGAACACTGACAAATCTATTGCAACAATGATAACTCGCCCCCTCTCCTTACAAAGCAGGCCCAAAATTTATAAGCATTTGTAGGAAAACGTACCTCGCATTCACTACCATTTTGCAGTTCAGCAGCCCAGTTTTCTGTTTGAGCCTTAGGAGAGAAAAAAAAAAGTGTAGTTGTGTTAAAACATGGAAGGAATTTCAATCAGCTTTCTTCAGGCTCACGGGACAGTTTGAAAAAGGAAGGTGGCTTTAAGAAACAGTTGAAATATGCTGCTTCTACATTTGTAGAAGGTCCAGAGTTGATCTGTTCTAAAGCCTTTGAGAAATCAAAGCTGATAATTGCATGTATGCAAATGATTGCTTGATTTGAGCCTAGGCCAGGGATAGACAACCTTGGCTCTTTTATGACTCGTGGACTTCAACTCCCAGAATTCCTGAGCCAGCCATGCGAGGGGAAAGGGAGAGGTTTCCAAGCTGAGCCGTGCTGGCTGAAGAATTCTGGGAGTTGGTCCACGAGTCATAAAAGAGCCAAGGTGGCCTACATCTGGCCTAGAGAATAAAATATGCTGAATTAAAGTTGTGATTAAGTTGCCTCCTTCACTTGCGCCCAAATGCTGAATCGGTTTCAATTAACATATCTTCTAGGTAATTTTCCATGGAGATTTTTTTTTCTCTTCATTTTTCTTCTTTCTTTTCTCTCTTTTTTCCTCTGTCTGCCCTTCAAAACCATTCTGGGCCATCCCGTTTACGTTTCTACAGTAAAGACTTGGTCAGCTCGCGTTTTTCAATATATTTAATGTTACTACCTCATGCCTGAAGTGAGAAGGACGGCCTGAGTGGCTA